GGGTGAAGACTAGCATTATGCCAACGCCAGTGGTTCCGGGCCAGAGGAGTTCCCCACATTCCGTCATTTGACCTTTCCATCCACTCCAGTAGGAGGTGTTGTTAACTCCCAGTTTAGAGTGGAGGCAGTGGAATCTCCAGAAGGTTAATTGATGTGGATTAGCAAGTATGGAGCAGGGATTGGAGCCTGCATTTTTCTTGGCTTCCTCACTTTAAGGAAAAATAATGTATCTGGTGATAAAGTAGGGCTGTTAATAAGTTAGGGAGAATTGTTCACATAATCATAGTAAATGGCAGTTAAGGTCATGGGGAGAAATCCACTTCCTGAGAGAGCAATACTACAAGAGAGAAGGAGGGGGTTTGTGACTGAATATTAGAGAACACAGAGAAGGATGGGGCAGGTGGAAGAGCTTCGGGAAGGAAACAGTTCAAATGGGGGCCTTGGGGAAGAGGGCCTGTCACTCTAGGGCCACTGTGGCTGTGGGAGAGGGCGGTCTGTGATGCAGAGTGAAACTGCCGATGGATGGATCATCGGGTGGAAAAGGAGAGTACCTCCGTGCGGCTGGCGTTCCTAGCAACCCTCCACAACACAAGCTACCTGGCCAGGTGTGTGAGGGTGGCTAGTGTTGCAGGTGGGAGGACACAGGAATGCTGCCGGCGAGGGGTGGGGAGAGGAAGCAAGCTCCGGGCTGAGGTGCAGCCACTCTGACTCACTCTGGTGCGCTTTCTGAACCACGCCAGCCAGTGACAGCGGGACGTCCAGGTGAGGCCCTGTGGGTGTGGACAGGAGGGAGTGTGGAGTCCCATAAACCTGACAGAACTACCCAGAAAGATTCTGAAAGTCTTCTGGGAGACCAGGCAAGCGAGAGGATGCTATGACATGGAAGACGGAGAGGTAAAGAGCTGAGGGGATGACTTTGTCGGCCAGATTGGATGGCAGCAGATGGATGAGTAAGCCCTCGAGGTCCACCCCTTCTAAGGGAGCCTTTGGCTCTCCCGGCGTGGCCCTTCACCAGGCCCCGTGTGGAGCTCACAGCTTCTCCACGCCCGGGCAGCATCGGAGGAGGGTAGAGCATGGTCCTAGGGCTTATATATCTTCTTGTGAAGCTTCACTAGAAACCCCATGTAAATTAGAAAAAGCCCCACATAGAGACCTGCTGTCAGAGTGGGGGCAGCTGATGCGTGTACCCAACAGACAGCTCTTTTATTAAAGGGACCCCGTGTGCCAGAGGGCCATTCAGGATGGATTGTGTGATGGCCTGCCTGGAGTAAGGGAGCAGGACTGGAGAAGCGTGCCCATTAGGCGGGAGCTGGTGAGATGCACACCTGTAAGGAAGGGCAAGTAGGATGTGGATATTTGGGGAAGAGAAACATCTCAACCAGTGGCACTTGTGTGAGAACCATATGAAGGGGAGACAAACGAGGCGAGTTCTGAGGCAGGATGGGCGGCTGCCTGGAGCAGCTGTTCTGAACTGGGAGATGGGGTGGGATTGGGATCTTAAAGGGCAAGAGAAAGGAGTTTCATATGATACAGCGGGCAGCAGGAGTCAATGCTGGTTCTGCTTCCCAATGTGCCTGAGAATGACCAGAGAGGGTTAGAGAGCTGGAAGGCTGTACTCTGGGGGACCTTTCCGAATATTTGTGAAAAAAGAGAGCAGTTTCCATGGGTCTTAAAATCATACCTTCTTTCCCTCATATATCTAATCCTTTACTGTAGTAAATTTCCCAAATTCTTACTGTGGCAAGTAAACACACTTAAAGAGACTTTGTGGAATAATGCCAGAAGACAAGATGCTACATTTGATAAGCAAAGGATTAAATATTAATTTTCCCTAAGCTCAGTCACTCTCTTTCATCGACATTGGTTTACCTTTTATGTAACTTGACAATACAGCCAGATTATTTGAGGTGGGCCTGAAACTGACTGAGCACTCACTCATTCGCGTTGTCACCCAGGATTCTCTTCTCGCCTCTGTTAGTTCTCAGGTTGTAACAGAAGCCTGCATGCCGTCCAGGCCACCTTGGGGGGGGGGGGGGGGGCTACCGACTCTTCCGGGGCTCCCATGTGTCTTATTCATTGTGCATCCTCAGTGCCTGGCTCGTTGCCTTTTAAATAGCAATTGTGAGTGGGTGGGTGAGTAGAGAATGATTATAGGAGGTAGTTTTTCTCGACTTTGTTACTCTGGTTTATGCCTTCATTCAAGCCTGTAAATGACAAACAATACTGTGAACATTAAGAGACGTGGGTGGGTCATTTGGGAAGGAACGTATTGTTATGGCTGCAGTTCAGTCTGATTTACAGCACCAATCCCAACAGAGCTATTTTCTTACATCTGAGTGCTGATGGTTGTGTTTTAAAATTGGCTGCCGCTGGATGTTGACAGGACCTGCAAGGGTAGGGCCTGCAGCAGAGCCGCTGGTTCAGAAATCAGGCAGCCTAGGTCCCAGCCTCGCCCATGCCGCTCAGAGGGTCCGCTCTGGCCTTTGCCTGGGTGGTGCCTCCTTGCCTTCCGTTGCTGCATTAACTGTCACTTCCTCAGCATCACCTGTCCTGACTGTCTCCTGAACTAACTCTGGTTGCCTCGTCTATGCTCTTGTAGGACCCTTGATAACACTTACAAGTAATGACTGAAACAATTATTCTGTTAACGTTATCTCTGATGAGGCAATAACTTTCGCAAGGATAGGAACCCTGTGTATCGGTTTCACCGCTGTGTTCTCATCACCAAACATAGTGCCTGGCACTAACTACTGGTACACTTGAATTAGTTCTTCAAAATTTTTTAAATTGTAAGTTATTTATACCCATAATTAGAAATTCAAACAGTACAGATTTAAAATGAAAGTATATTCAATCCCTCATTAGAGATAACAAGTTTGGAGGTTCCTTGTCTTCACAAACAGGAAAAAACATTGCACAAAACTAGAGTTGGCTGGCGTTGAATGAATTTGCAGTGGGAGGGAATTGCTTTCCTTCTTCCAGGCCCTGGGAAGCAGCCTGCCTGTTTCCGTTCCCAAGGTTTCATGCCTCGGTGATGGGATAACACTCCCGTGGAGGAATCTGTGCTGAGAACCTATAGGGCCAAGACCCTGAGCTAACTACCCATGATAACCTGCTCTGTGCTAATTATAGCTATTATGTGTAGAAATTACTTTCTTGATGGGCCTCTGAAAATGATTTTTTCTAGGAATAGAGTATTACATCCAGCTATTGCTTAATAAAGTAGTAAGGCTGGTTGGAAACTCCAGTGATTTGGGGGATGTTTTAATAAAATTGGGTGTTTAGGAAATAAATGAATGTTCACTTGAAGATTTGCAGCTTAAAAAGCATTTCATGTAGCATGCTTGGTCTTCGGTGGATTTATATGGGGAAGGAATTCATTAAAGGAGTGGGATATATCCAAGCAACCTTCTTGAGTTTGAATGGAAATATGTACAAACACTTCTAAACCTGGAGAGACAGAATTATATGTATAAGGGAATGTTAAACCCCATAAATTAAAAAAAAAATCCTCAAGGAAATATACATATTTTATCCATTAATTCAGTGTTGAGGGAGGATTTATCTTAGTTCATCTTCTAATTCTTTATCCCAAAGATGATGTAAGAGACCACTCCATGCCCTGCAACAGGACCAGGTGTGAGAGAGTGTGTGTGTGTGTGTGTGTGTGTGTGTGTGTGTGTGTGTTGGAATGGAGGGATGCTCAGTGTACTCATAAATAGTTAAATTATATGATCAATATATAAAAGCTTTAGACTTTTATCTGTAAATTGTAATTTTATATAAGTATATAAATTTCATATTTATAAACCTATAATCAAGATGCTCTACATTAAGTCAGGTCTGAGGGGAAGGTGATGTTTTTATATTGTTCATGGTCATGGGCTGTAGTGGGCTCATACAGGCACTGAGAGAGATGTTGTGTGGAGGTGGGTGAGGCAGGAGCCTCGCAGGGATGGGCTTGGGTCGGGTCTCAGCCTCTGAAGTGGCTCAGGGCCTGGCATCAGAGACGAGGTCTGGGGACTGTTGGCAGGGCAGCAGCTGTTCACTGACAGCCAGTTACTTAAGGAGGCAGCGGGTGCCAGATGGAATGCCTGGGCTCTAACACCTGACGACTCAAATGTTAAGGAGGTTTAATGAGCCTGGGTTGGAACTCCCAAAGATAGTAATTGTCCGTTTAATATTAAGCAGTGTATTGCAAGCTAAGTACTAGAGCAGTATTCAACCCCATGCAAGTATCACATGCATGTTCTACTGTTTGGGTGATAAGCTATCAGGGGCTGATCTCCCCTCCCACTGGCATCCCTAGGAAAGGTGTTTCAGGTATCATTCATCCCCTTCTGCCTTCCAGGTAGGAGCCAAGATGAGACAGATAATAGAGCAATATTTCCTCCATAACCCTGTTCGCACCTTCTCTTCCTTACGTGACACTGGAAGGACAATTCTAATCTCCCTGAGTCTGTTTCCAAGAGCTATGTCCTGTTCCTTCTATTTTGTATAATATATTATAAATAATGCATGGGCAATTTAATGAGCACCTACAATGTGCTAAACACATGATCTCACAAAAAACAAACAAACAAAAAAAACAACAACCCTGCAAATAGAAGTTATAGACCCTAAACTGAGACTCAAAGTCACAGAGCTAGTAATGGGCAGAGCTAGCATTTGAACAACATTGTTTCAAGCTTCAAAGTCCATGCTTTTTCTAAAAAGAACACACACAACAATTACAATATTTCCTGTGCTCTTATGTACTAGTCAGTAGTAAACTTATAAGATAGTTATCTATTGAAGAAAAATTGAGGAAGGGGGAAAATGGAGATAAAAAATTTTAAGTAACTTGCCTAAAATTATTTGGTAAGTGGCACATGCAAACTTGTGTGAGTGGCATTCTAGACGAGGTAAGAAGAGGTAAGAGCAAGTTTGGTGGAGAGGATCTGGAGGATGCAGTAGGCTGTGGGTTCACTAGAATCATACTTTGTTCCTTTCCTTCCTAGGTGTCTACTTCCTCTGCATCAGCCAGCAAGTCTTCCATCATGAACACCACCGAAAACAAGGTATGCAGAGTCTTCCAGGGTCAGGTTGTGTGGGTGCCTTTAAGATGATTAATGTAAAGCAAAACAAATGTGGATTGATAGTTGGCAAATGAGTTGTGTCCTAGGGAGCTTATGTTATAGAAGTAAACCTTTTCTTCCTAATTATGGGGCTTGTTGGTTACTCAAATTTCAATATTCACCTCAAACCTCATCTATACCAGTGGTTCTCAACCTTTCTAATGCCGTGTCCCTTTAATCCAGTTCCTCATGTTGTGGTGACCCCCAGTCATAAAATTATTTTCGTTGCTACTTCATAACTGTAATGTTGCTACTGTTATGAATCGTAATGTAAATATCTGTGTTCTCCGATGGTCTTAGGCTCTACAGCACTGGTTCTCAACTGCAAGCAGGGTCGCCTAAGACCATCGGAAGGGAGTAGGGAGAGGAGAGTAGGTGAGCTAAAAGAGGGAAGGACAGAAATAAGATGCACCCAGTGAAATATCACCAGTGGCTGACTCGGGACCACAATAGCCTTAATTCTGTGTCCTTGGTAGATTTCAGTCACTGTTCTCTGGTGTGCTTCTGATGTTGGCTCATAAACATTTTTACTAACCTCCGCTGAGAGGTTTTTGTGAACTTGATGAGCATATTCCTCTAAATATTTTGAGTTAGTTCCTAGAGAAAAGATTTTAATTCAAGTTAATTCCTAAACCAAATTCTTGCCATGTTCTACACCTTTCAGATGAAAGTTAGTCTGGCTCTGAAGGGGGGTGATATGTCTAGACTTAAGTTCTCTCTTGCCCCTGGCACCCAAAAATTGGTAATGTCTGAGGTGGAATTAGATTATTTTTAATAAAATCATCAGGATGAGATACTTAAGAGGATATGTAATGTGGACACTGGAGCCAGATAGCCTTTCTTAGAATCCTACTTCCACACCAGCTGGGATGTTGGAGATATAATTTTTGCTTTGGCTTTCTTATGTGAACAGTTTGGAGGAGAATGATAATAATACCTATCTCACAAGACTGTGAAAGGAAATGAACATATAAAACTACTAGAGGCCCGGTGCATGAATTCGTGCATGGGTGGGGGCTCTTGGCCTGGTCAGTGATTGGGGCTGATTAAGGCTGTCTCACCCAGTCCTCATTGAGGCCAATTGGGGCCATCTGGCCAGGGAGAGGAACCACAGGAGGTTGGCCAGCTGCTGGAGGTTGGCTGTGGGAGTGCACTGACTACCAGGGGGCAGCTCCTACATTGAGCATCTGCCCTCTGGTGGTTAGTAAATGTCATAGCAACCAATCAATTGGTTATAACAGTCGCTTAGGCTTTTATACATATAGATTGGGACAGTGCCCATTCTAGGAATCTCAGGTTAGAACATCTTTACATCTCCTGGTGCCCAGTAGGAGCTGGCAGGTACTCCAGAGACAATATGCTGATTGAGAACACCAGGGTTGTGCCTCAGTTTCTCATCCATGAAATAGGGATGATGATGACAATGATGATAACAATACCTATCTCACAGGACCATTATTGGGACTGAGTTGGCCCTTGTAAAGTTTAAGACATTCCCTGGTACAAAGAGGTGATTAATAAGCATTACTTATTATTGTCACAATTATTTTGCTCAGCACCACAACCATGTAAAATAAATGTAGGTAATGTATTGATTACTAATTAAAATGCACATCCTATATAATAAAAACCCAAAATCGAACAGTGGAATGACCGGTTGCTATGATGTGCACTGACCACCAGGGGGCAGGCACTCAATGTAGGAACTGCCCTCAGCCTATAGGCCCCACGCCAGCCAAGGTGGGTGCCAGCAAGAGCCCTAATTGTCCCGCCAGTTGCCCCAGATCGGCTCTGATCACCAGCCAGGCCTAGGGACCCTGCCCCTGCACAAATTTTGTGCACCGAGCCTCTAGTTTATTATAAGCTGCTTGCATCTGTGAGTGTACATTCTTAATTGTATTGTAGAGCTCTTCCATGCAAAATCTTAACTGCCAAATTAGAAGCTATGAATAGATTCAAACCATTATAATACCAGCTGGCTTATTTTCTTTGTTAATCACTTAAAAAGTTACATTTTTATAAACTCAGAAAAGCATAGTAGTACACATAGAAACTCATTAGCAAAGATCCAGTTTGAAAGGGTCCAAAATGTAAATGTTCTTTAAAATATTTCTTTGATCATAAACTGTGTTTCCATAAGTGTGTCAGCAGAACAAGGGTCTATCATGTGAGGGACATATGGATCTTCATTACAGAGGCACAAGACATTATAAATTAAGAAGATATTTGGTGTTACCCTTTTCAGATACTGGAATAAAAATAAAACTTTGTGCTAATATTGCCAAACAGATAAAAGAGACAGAAATGACAGGAAGCATCGGGCCTAATTATTAATCTCTAACTTTGAAAAGTTCCTAAAATGTTTTATCTCTGTTCTTGTATGCGCTTAAGGAATTGCTTCTTTCGACACAGGTTACCTTTGGTTGGGTACAACTCTGTAGGATACTCCACTAAAGATCCTAAATCACAGCCTGCTCTTCACGATTATTCCTAGAACTTTAGATTAGATCTCTAGATTTTTATTGTGCAATACCAATCTGTGCACTATTTGCAAAATTGTTGTATTATGTTGCCAAATTTTCAGAAAACTTCTGACAACATCTGTAACTACTCCTTTGATAATAACCAAACATTAGAAATATAGGTGGAAAAAATATTGTGTAAGCAGCCTTTGCACAGGAAAGGAGGGGGAAGAAAAGAGATTCAAAATTAATTTTATTGATTGAAAACTTACAGATTTCCTCTCAACCAAAAAGAAAAAAAAGTAATTTTAAACTGAAATCTTTGCTTGAGACTTTAGAAATTAAGAGCCTGCACTTCTTGGAGTTGTATCCATCTGCATAGAGTAAATGCAATGAATGAGTAGAATGGATTTGATATAAACATTTTAGCCCTATTTGTACATGGTACTTATTTTACTGTCAGACAAATAAAAATACACTTGGGGCTGTGCTCTTACGTTAGGCCATTCCAGTCAGCAAACAGATGGAAGGAACACCTCCTCCTCACAGGAAAAGACACAAAAAACAGGTGATGTGGCTCATTGTCCTCGCTCACTTCAGCTGCTTGGCACGTGCTTATTGCAGTTCACAGTCCCCTGTAACCCATCACAGACTTTCTGGCTTAATCACCCATCGCCCACATTCTGGCACTAAAAATAAATTCACTGCTCTCTGTACTCTTGGTTCTGTCACCATCCCATTGTTTCACACTGTCAGATGAAACCTACAATGACTATTTTCCTCATACAGAGATTGATCTGTTACAATTTCAAGCAAAGTGTAATAATCTTAACTCATAACATTTACATTTATAAATACATCAAAGTCATCTCTTTAGCATCCTTAGTTGAAGAAAATCTGTGATAAATTTTGTAAATAATGTCCATTTTTCCTTCCTCCCTTCTTCTTTCTTTCTTTTACTGAATTTAGGCTGTAAAATCAGAACCTGAAAAGAAGTCACAATCAACTGAGGTAAGTGTTGTAAGTTAGCAATGTGTTATTTGGATTCTTTGCAATAATAATTAATAACGAAAGTTCCTTATTTGCTGTCAGCTAATTTAATTAATTAGAACATGATTTTATAGAGTATATGTAAAATAACTATAACATTAAGTTTATACATTGTGAAAATTAATGTATACTAATCTATATTAATAAAATGGTAATATGCTAATTAGACCAGACATCTTCTGGATGTCCTTCTGAACAAAGCCACTGTGGTGGCCGAGGCAGAGGCAGTTAGGGGAGATCAGGCCAGCAGGGGAGGGCAACAAGGAGTGATCAGGCTGGCAAGCGAGCAGTTAGGGGGCGATTAGGGGGTAGAGATGGTTATGGGCAATCAGGTTGGCAGGGTAGGGCAGTTAGATTAAATCATTTTGGCAGGGTAGTAGTTAGGGGGTGAGCAGGCCTGCAAGGGAGCAGCTAGGGGGTGATTAGGGGGCAGAGATGGTTAGGGGCAATCAGGTTGGCAGGGGAGGGCAGTTAGATTAAATCATTTTGGCAGGGGAGCATTTAGGGGGCGATCAGTCTGGCGGCAGAGGTGGTTAGGGGCAATCGGGTAGGCAAGCGGATTGCGAGAGGGATGGTCAACTGCCGGTTTAGCCTAAACTGGCAGTCAGACATCCTCTAAGGGGTCCTGATTGGAGAGGGTTCAGGCTGGGTTGAGGGACCTCTCCCCCTCCCCCCCACCTTGCACAAATTTCATGTTCCGGGCCTCTAGTCTATAATAATAAAAGCATAATATGCTAATTAGACCGGAGGTCCTTCTGGATGATCTTTCAGATGAAGTCGGGGTTGCAAGGGAAGTCAGGGTCCCGGGTGCCAAAGTGAAGCCTTTGCTGGCAGCTGGGGAATGAAAACCTACTCCTGCATGAATTTTGTGCATCGGGCCTCTAGTTTATAAATAAAAATAATATGCTTCAGAAGGAATTTTGTTCAAATCTATATATTCTTTTATATTGTTTAAAAATAAGCAACAGGAGCAAAGGACAGAGTTCGAAGGTAATGTGTGTCCAATTACTTTAGTGATGAGCTATCCAGAATAACTGTCACTGTTGAATCTAGCACCCAGTTAGCTAAAGCTGAGTCTGGCTTCCTCCTGGCAGTCTTGTCTTGGTTGGTAGAACTAGTTACTTAGGAGACAGCTCTGACTTGCCCTGGGGAGCAGCTTCCCTGGCTTTCTTGACTCAAGGCTGTCCAGACTGAAAGCCAATCTGTGTCCACACGGAGAGTGATCCCGGGGGGTCTGCAGCCATGGCAAATGTTCTCATCAATCCGGTGCTGCTTTCTTTCTTTCTTTCAAGCACACTTAAGCAAACGCTCAGATAAAACCACAAGGTTTCCTGTGGGAAAGCACAGAGGTGACTCTGGCTAACATCCTGTAAGTACAGGCAAGGGTGAGGTCATCAGGGTGAAAACGGAGGCTGGTCTGATTTGGTGGGAGGCATCTTGGCTGCCCCCAAGGATGGTGATTCCATAGTCCACTCTAGAGGAAGAAGTCAGCAGCCAGGTGGGGGTTGTCTTCTATTTTATATTTAATTGCTTTTGGTTATCTATAATACCTAATTAAAGAGAATTGTAACACAAGAGAGACTATGTAAATCATTCAGTGTAAAAAAATGCAGGTTTTTAAAAATCTCTTGTGAAAGGAGATTTTTAAAAAATTAATTTCTAGCCCAGCCGGCGTGGCTCAGTGGTTGACCATCCACCTATGAACCAGGAGGTAATAGTTTGATTCCTCGTAAAGAGCACAGGCCCAGGTTGTGGGCTGGATCCCCAGTGTGGGCCGTGCAGGAGGCAGCAAATCAATGATTCTCTCTCATCATTGATGCTTCTGTCTCTTTCTCTCTCTCCCTTCCTCTCTGAAATCAATAAAAATATATTTTAAAAAATTAATTTCTAGAGTAGAACCCCCTCTTTTTCTTTTTTTTTTTTTTTACCAACCTCAGACGTCACAATGACCACTTGTCTCTGTGGATAAACCTGCAGTTACCGAAAGAGCTGCATGAATTATGAAAAACAGCTCATAAGTTAGTGATATATACCTCTTTGAAAAGTTGCTGTGGGTGAAAAAACTAATTTTGCATCATTATTCTGTAATATAATCATCAGACTGTGGGTAGGATTGCTGTTGACCAGAGAGCACATGTCTGCTTCTCTCGTTGGGTCATTCTCAAGAGAGGCAGAACGTTCTAACTGGGAATTTTGTTCTTGAGCCTGTTTAGAATTATGAAAACAGTGAACTCCAATGTAATTGATGTTTTATCTTTTGAAATTGACAGCCGCCTCTGCTTATTGATGGGAAAAAAATAGAAAAAAAGCCAAAGGAACAACACGAGGTAAATGATCAGCATTAGTGGTTGATATCATTAAGGTGAAACCTTTTGTGTGTGTGAGGGATGAAATACTAAATTCTCATCCGTCGAGACTTACGTCCCCAAAAGGATCATTCTGTAAATTATATGATCATCCAACCATTATGCTGTATAGCTGAAACCAATATAAAATAATATTGAATGCCAACTGTAATTGAAAAACTTTTTAAATGTAAATTGCTATAGAAACAAATCCCGAGAGACTGTCTGGTATTTGCTTTTAGCTAAAATAGCACCACCATGCGGCAGTAGAAGGATTTGCAATTTACTCATGATTCTTGCTGAATTTAAGGGGGAAGGATTTGCGTTATTTCAAATTTTATACCTAGGGTGAAATTTTATCACATTGATTTCACACTAATTTAAACTTTCACAGTTCAAAATTACACGAAACACAACTATTTTGAACACTTCCTACTCTATTGAGAAAAGTATCTGTATTTGCCATTTTGTTAACAATGTGATGTGTGTGTGTGTTTTCAGCCAGAAAGCCTATCCAAAGGCACGTCGCATTCAGCAAGCAAGCATGGTCATAAAGAAAAGGCAGTTTCCAGGTCAAGTGAGCAGCCAACATCAGAGAAACCAACAAAACCAAAGGTAAATAAATCAGATTAATAGCGAGGATAACACTAACGTCACCTAGAGACTGAGATACAGGTCCTCTCTCCATGCACATGTGGAGGTGAATCTGTTGAGCTATGCCAAATATATCTTCGATTACAATGATTTGGTGCGATCATGTTGATGGTTTTGCAAATTGCCTGTGGAAACATGGGCCTATGAAAGGCCTGAGAAGAGTATCAGACGGGTCCAGGGGATGTTCCATCCAGTCCTCTCCTACGGCCCATCAGGGTCCAGTCATGACGACAGGGCAGCAGGCTCTAGTGCCTCACATAGGAAGCTGCCTGGACCTTATGGGCTATGGAAACCCAGATGCCCTGCATGATCACAGGTTGAGAACCACTGTTGTAGAGCCTAAGACCATCAGAAAACACAGATTTTTACATTACGATTCATTAACAGTAGCAACATTATAGTTATGAAGCAGCAACGAAAATAATTTTATGGTTGGGGTCACCACAACAGAACTGTATTAAAGAGTTGCAGCATTAAAAAGATTGAGAACCACTGTTCTAGAACTACTAGAAATATCAACTATTAGAAGAACAAACAAATATGAGAGGAACTTTCTCACTGGTAGCTCTTGCAAGACAAGAACTAGTCCTGCTTAACAGTATACTTCCTATCAGAGATTGTAATCTCTGGCCCACCGGTTAAAGGCAGCTCATGTGTATTTTGTTCAAATGTATTTCGTTTGGCTTACAATATTATTTACATTAGCTACCAACATTTAAAGTCAGAATATTTCACATAAAATCAAAATGTCTAGCTTCTCTAGAAAAATCAGGACACTTGGCCACAGTAGGCTCACATGGCAAAAACTGACTAGAGCTTGACACCTGGTATATATGCTCTAACTTACCACAGTCCCTCCCTGGCCCACTTCACTGTTTGTGTTACCTGTGCAGACTCTGTAAGCTCTGAGTCCAGCCTCACGTGGTTGGTGCTCAGCGTAGCATCATGTTCAGTGGAAGCCAGTGACCTTTCCTATACAAGATGTCCACAAGGGCACACTGGCTCAACGGTGACATTTGAAATGCATAATCTCAAAAACAGTCGCTCAAAGAAACTGAGTTTTGTTCATCTTTCATCCTCCTCCTTAGACTAAATCTCAGGACACAGGTGCAGAGAGTGCTGCTGCTGCTACTGGTGCGGTTGTGGCCTCTGGCAAGTCAGACAACAAGGTGAGCACACACAAGCAGGGGGGGTGCGGAGGCCCGATGCTTATCCGTCTCTCGTGGTAAATGTGTGCTCAGGGGAGTCCCATTCTACCTGGGCTTTACCTCCGGCTCTCATTAACCATTTAGGGTTCTGGTGCTGCCACACTCAACACTGAACATTGTTCACATATAAAAATTTGTGAAGAGGATCATGTAGCTAAAGGATATAGAGTAAGCAGAATATGCCTCTGATTTGTCTCCCATAACATGGGGTTGATCAGATCTGCATGTTTAAAAATTATTTGTAGTGCATACCAGGCTGAAAGCACTGTGTCTGACACCCTAACTGCAGGCTGGCCCTCTAGGGGTGGGACGAAGACACTCTGCCTCAGCTGCAAATCAAGGCAGGTTAAGACAGGGAGCTAGCTGTTTGGTGAGGACCGAAAAGGACCTGATTGCGGGAATCCACAGGGATCTTGAATAGATCCAGTCTGAGGGAGGCATGGAAACATAGTCTGGACTGCAGACTTGCAAAGGCATCAATATGGAAAATGATAAGATGTGTTCTGGGAGAAGCATGCATTCCAGTGTTGGGTGAAGTGCAGGGGAGTGGTGGGACTGTAAGACCAGACAGACAGGTTGAGGCATTGCTATGGAGACTGCTAAGGTGAGTTAGTGATTCAACAGGCAGAGGCTAAACAGTGTGAAAGAGAATAGAGAACAGATGCGGCGGTGCCATTAAAAGCTGCAAAAGGGTTAGGAAAGTGACCACAGGGGGATTACAGGTGGGAAGGCGGGAGGTTGGCCAGGGGCTGTTCCAGTAGTCCTGGTGAATCCCAATTTGGTGTAAATTCCAGCTGAGATAGAATAAGCTGGGGGGGAAAGGGAGGAGGCATTGCAGAGGTAAATCCTTCAGGTTCTGGGAGATGATTGGGCAAAGGTAAAGGAAAGCTCAGGCAAACCTGGGGCTTGAGTCTGAAGGAGCTAGGTTGGTCACCCTAAGGGGAGGGCTCCTGCCAGTGCTGGGAGAGTGGGTGCCTCCTGACTCTGTGAGCCGGCCCCTGGTTGCCACTGGGAGGCAGACACAGTTCCCCAGAGGAATTGGTTGAAGAGGAAATATGATGTCTGATTTTGGAAAAGCTGAATGTGTTTGAGGTATCCCAGGAAAGATGTATAATAAGGCAATTAGAACACTGTTTTGGAGTAGCAAAGAAGGGGGAGAGAGAGAATTGGGGATGGCCCACATGGTATTTTAAAAATCTTCACCCAAGAATATGTTTATTGGGGGGGGGGAAGGGAGGGGGGAGAGAGAAAGCCAAATAATGTGAGCGCGGTGACCTCCCATCTATGCCAGGATGGGGATTAAGCCACACCTTTTTGGTATGCAGGAGGGCGCTCTAACAAACTGAGCCACCAGTCCCCCTACTCCCCAGTGTTTTTAATGTGACAATCACACAGTCATTTATTTAACACTTTCTTAAATTACGCACTTACAAAGGGCTCAGTATGTGCAGACACTGGCTTTCACACTTTCATAGATTCATTTACCTAATCCTCACAATCCCTGAGGTAGGTGCAGACACTCTATCTGAGATAGAATAAGCAGGAGAACACTGAGGTGCAGCCAGTGCTTGTTGGGGTGCAGACCCAGGCAGGCAGAGTCTGTGCTCTCCTCCTCCAGACTCTGCTGCCCAGAATTCAGGGGCCAGCAAATGGGACATAGTTTCCTATTGTCTTCTCCTGGCTACGTCACCCCTTTCATTGGTGCCAGGCCCTGAAAGCATTTGGCCCCTGGCCCTAGAGAATGCTCTTGGACTGGTCCACCAGCACAGCACAGAAAAGTGAAGGCTGTGTGCAGCTGGGGGTAAAGCGGAAGAGATGCCAGAGGCATCAGAGAACGGGGGCACAAATGCCCGAGATAAACCAGGATGGTGCTCGGTCATGGCTGCCGTGGGAGGTGAGAGTCATAGAGGGGTCCTTGGCAGGGGCTGGGGAAAGGCATGAAATTACAGATTGGAAAGTTGTTGGTGATTATTGATAGAGCAGCGGAAGCATTGGTTGGAAGGAAATTCATTTTAGGGAAATAAAAGAAAGAGTAGGTTATGAGATACTAAACCAAGGGGTGTGGAGGTTTTGTTGTGTGGGGAACAGAGACTGAAACAGCAACAGCTAGAGGAAGTGGACACTTACAGAAAGAATTTATGAGACCCACAGAGACTGAGCCCCAGGAGAGGCAACCAAGATTGGTGAAGAAAGAGATGGGCAGTTCTGGATTCAGATCTTGGTTCTGTCTTTTTGCTGTGTGACCTGGGAAAAGTTACTTAACCTCTCTGAGCCTTGATTTCCACACCACTAACTTATATTATGGTTTATTAATATGATTTATGCTGTCCTGAAAAAGGGTATAACACATACACCGTAGTGTCTAGCACTGAGCAGATTCTGTATACTGTATGATCAGTGCTATTGTATTAAATTCATTTTAATATATGTAATATTACTAAATTTTATAAATGTGTGTGAAAATGTTTTTATTTTTTTCTAAACCTCCACCAGAAAAAAGAAAATAAATCATTAATGTCGGCTGTACCAGTTGAGTCCAAACCGGGTAAACCATCTGGAAAGGTATGAAGATAGCAGTGCATTTCTGCCTAAGATATTTATTCGCAGCCTCTCTATCATGATCTCATTTCTTGAGGGCAGACAATATGAGGTGGGGGTAACTGAAAGGACCTTTTTAATGAACTGTTTCAAGATAATATAACTGAGCTAAAAGTGTGGTTTTCCCACATATGTTTGTAACATTTTATAGTAGAACCTTCTGTTCTGAAAACTCCAGTTACTTCCCATAAAGTTTTCATTCCACTTTCTATCCTGCAAATATGTCTACTTTCACCAGAGTTATCACTAAAGAATGTCCGGTACTTCTTCAGTCTGAAATTCCCAGTTTAATTAGTCTAAAGCTAGCAGGCCCCAAATTCTAATACATTATCAGGGGAGTTTCTAAAATTGTAGTGTTAATATAGAAGTTATTTTTACTAATTAATTTGAGTTAAACAATAAAAGATCTTTCCTGATATTGTTATTTTCCCTTTAAATTCAGGTTATCCTTCACAATGAGTCATTCTTAACCTTAAAATTAGAATGGAGTCATTTTTTTCATTATCTATAATATAAAAGCCTAAGCCACTGGCTGACCAGCTGGTAGCTATGATGTGCACTGACCACTAGGGAGCAGATGCTCAATGCAGGAGCTGCCAAGCAGTAGCAACTTCACAGAGTGCCCTCGCACTCCGGGACCCCTTGGGGGATGTCAGGCTGCCTGTTTCGGCCCAATCCCCACCTGTGCGTGCACCAGGCCTCTAGTACTGATATAAGCCCATATTAGTAGAGTAAACTGTCACTTCTTGTAAGTTTAACATCCCTTTCAGGTAATTTCTGTTTGTGAACATCTTTGCACAAGTACGTAAACAAACAAACACACATACAAAACTCCACAGATGGATGAAAGAACACAGGGCAATACATTTTGACATAGATTTTATTTGGAGAAGGTGCTATAGAGAGAGATTTTGTTGAAGTTGTTTGTATACATAACTATAGAAATCTGTTGATCAGCAATAAATACCAAGAATTTCTCCTATTGCATATGGCAACATAATCATGATTCTTTGTACTTTGCTTTGTCCTTCTCTCTCTCTCTCTCTCTCTCTCTCTCTCTCTCTCTCTCTCTCTCTCTATCTCTCTCTCTCTCTCTCTCTCTCTCTAGCAGTCAGTTCATTGGTCTGGAAGCTTTAATGAACAATACATTTGTTCATGTAGTTAATACCTTTAAACTTAAAAAAATTGCAATTCTTACCTGAATATGGCTTTTTATCTCCAAACTAGAATCTGTACTTTGAGACTAAATAATAAGGTTTAACTGAGATCAGATTTTCTTCAGGTAATTATAGACAGCATTTTCTGCTTGTTAGTGGAGGACAATAATAACAGGAAAGGTAGAAAATAGGAAGTTTCAGTTCAAATTATGTGCACATTCACAGCATGAGATAGTAAAGCTGCTCACGTCTTTTTTCAATTTAACTTGAATAAGTCATACATGGTAGCATAGTTATTTTCTAAAAGGAAACTCCCCAACTCATTAGAATTTCTTATTTCACATAGCACTGAAAAGACTTTAAGAAAAATTGTGTGTAGGATTTACCAACCAAACACACACCTTTTCATTTTAAAGAGGTGTGTAAATATAAGGTAATTAAAAAAAAACAAAAAAAAACAAAACTAATTTCAGAGAAAAAAGGGAAGAGGGATAGAAACATCAGTGATGAGAGAGAATCGTTAATCGGCTGCCTCCTACATGCCCCACACTGGGAATTGAGCCCACAACCCAGGCATGTGTTCTGACTTCGGAATCAAACCTTACTTCCTGGTTCCTAGTTTGATGCTCAACCACTGAGCCATGCTGGCTGGGCAAAATAAATTTTTTTAAAGTTATTTTTACTAAACAATAAAGTGTACTTTTTCCTTTAAGCTTTACATTTTTAGTCTTTAAACTAAATTTTTCTATAGATTACTTATAAGTCATTATATAGTCTCAAATAGGCCGTTATCTTGTCATATTTTTAGAATGTTTCTGCCTTTTTTCTCTGAAGACTTCTTTCTCTTCAATACATGTAAATATTTTTTGCTTCCATTTTAATTCTTTTTTTTTTTTAATTGTTGACCCTATTACAGATGTCTTCCATTACCTTTGGTCACTTCCACTCACCCCACCCTCTCCGCCAGCCTTCACCACACTGTTGTCTGTATCCATACGCTATACATATATGTTCTTTAGCTAATCACTTTACTCTTTTATATCCAACATCCCCCTTCTTCTTCCCTTCCCCCTGAAATCCTGAGGCCAGATTTTAGCTATTTTGATATTTGAAGAACTTTTGGTGTTTGGTATTTTTCTACACAGATTGGTGTTTTGTGGTTTTAAAAAATCAAAAGTGGCCGGGACCAGTTTGGCTCAATGGATAGAGCGTCGGCTTGGGGACTGAAGGGTCCCAGGTTTGATTCCGGTCAAGGGCATGTACCTTGGTTGCGGGCACATCCCCAGTTGGGGGTGTGCAAGAGGCAGCTGATCGATGACTCTCTCATCGATGTTTCTAACTATCTCTCTCCCTTCCTCTCTGTATAAAATCAATAAAATATATTTTTTTAAAAATAAAAAAAATCAAAAATCAAAAGTGAAGTATGTGTAACAAATAACGTTTAAATATCTGTTCTCTCTTCTTTCCAGTCAGACATGGATGCTGCCCTGGATGACTTAGTAGGCACGTTAGGAGAACCTGAAGAAACTGGACAAGAAGATAACACGCCATATACTGGACCTGAAGTTTCGGTAAGTGACCTTAATATCTGCAAAGATTCACCCTTAATGGGTGAGAGAGCAACATGAGGTCATGATGCACAGAAGCCCACTCAGTATTCTGTTACTCGGAGAGAGACAGGACCGTGTATCAGTAACAGCAACTGAATTAGTGTTGGGATGGGGTGGCTGCTGACGCAGGAAACATTTATTAATTGTCTGTGCTGAGATTATCGCTGGCATAGAGTTCATTGGGCCACAAATACTTTTCTGTCCTGGAGACTGAAGTTCTGTGGACTTGGATTTATTTTGATTTCTAGATATTTACCATCCTCAGTTCATCCCTATCCCTGATTTCTTAAAAGCAAGAAAATTATATGATGTTTTATTTAAAGGAAAAGACACACCGTAGACTGGAAGGGAATATTTGCAACAGACACCACAAAGGATTTATGCCAGAATTTAGGAAGAATTTTAAAAAGTGAGAAAAAGACAATCCAATAGGAAATTAGGAGAAAACTTGCTGGGCTAATAAACAATGTGAGTTTCCCTAGTAATTAGGAAAGTGATACTACAACACAGAGAGGTGTCACTTCACACGTATTAGATCTCCATGGATGCTGAAGATGTGCAAACCCTACAGCCAGCAATTCCGTGTCTAGACAGATTCCCCAGAGGGAGCCTTCCACGGCTGTGCAAGGAGTTATAAGAACAGCTGCAACACTCTGGAATGGTTCTGTTCAACAGGAGACAATGTAATAAAATGGGATACTTTTGTAGTGATTAAAATGAATTATTCATTTATCTACATGGATACATTATAAACACATGATTTTGAATATGATATCAATTGTATAACATTTGAAAATACGCAAAGTAATGCTGCTAATTGTTTGTGGATACCTACATGTAGAATAACCGTTTTAAAATATGCTCCACTTTCAGTGGGTGGATATGACACACGTAAGTTCACCTTAGTAACTATCTCTGGTTAACAAGGAAGGGGAATGGCATTGGAAAGGGCCAAACAGGAGACATCATTCTCTCTTCTTGTTTTGTTGGAATTACATTAGAAATGACTAGATCTGATAGAGTTGGGTGTTGGGTTATATAGAAATTTATTGTTTTTAACTGTATTTTTGTATGAATTGGAAACATCAGACAATTAAAAACATTTCAAATCCAATGTGTTTTAATAGATGAATCAAATTTAACATAGTGATTTGAATATTTTCTAGCATTACATATGGGTTAAGCTACGTAAATAAGGGAAAGTATGTAAACAAATTTCAGAGTTGTGTAAAGTATTGGCTTCTTAATTTATATTTTATTTCAATAGTTTTATAAATTAAGAATGGAATAGTACTTTGGTTTCAGAATATGCATATAACATTCTCAGATAATTAATTATATAATGTGCCTAAATGTGTGATTTTATTACAGGACCCCATGAAGTCTCTCTACATAGAGGAATTGGGTAAAAGAGAAGGCTCAATTCCTCCAGAATACAGGGAACTTTTGAATGTAAGTCAAATAACCATTTACTTTTACTTTACCTTTTTTTTTTTTTAAATATATCCGTTATCACATCAATATAGTTATAATTTTATAAATTTAGAAAATAAAATGGGTAGATGAAAAGTTCATGACTACGACATTCACTGTATTAGTTTGCCATGGCTGCCATAAAAAGAATCACAGCCTGGATGGCTTAAATAACAGAAATATATTGTCTTCCCATTCTGGAAGCTGGCAGACTGGAATTAAGGTGTGGGCAGAGTTAGTTCCTTCTAAAAGTCTGGTGGAGACCTCTCTCCTTGGCTTGTAGAGAGCTGTCTTCTCCTTGTATCCCTTCACGGGGTCTTCCCTCTGTATCCCCAGTACATATTTCCCCATTTTATAAAAACGTCAGTTATATTGGATTAGCCCCATCCTAATGTCCTCGTGTAACCTCAGTTATCTCTCTTTTTTTAAAATGTATACTTTTATTGATTTCAGAGAGGCAGGGAGAGGAAGAGAGAGAAAAAAAATAATATCAATGATAAGAGAGAATCACTGATCAGTTGCCTGCCGCACACGCACCACTGGGGATCGAGCCCGCAACCTGGGCATGACCACCTGGTTCATGGGTCGACAATCAACCACCCTGGCCAGTCTGTTACCTCTTTAAAGGCTCTATTTCCAAACACAGTCATAGTCTGAGATACTTAGGATTAGGGCTTCAATAATGTGCTTTTGGGGAGGACATAATTCAACCCATAACAGTCACTGAGGAACACATTTTGCTGATTATAAGGATTACTTTTGCCTTCTCAACGTTATCAATGTGTGTTTGTTTCAGAAAAAAGAAGGGATCACAAAGCCTCCTCCAGAATCTTCGGTGAGTTTACATGAATGTCTTCTGAGATCCAAGTAACATTTTTGTATCTTTGGTTATTGGCTAGGGCTATCAATACTGTATTATGGCTAACGTAACCTCTAAATCAGATGCAGTTTTTATCTGTTCAGAGAAAGAGAGTGTATGTGGGGGTTGTGTCAGTACTCATTGGTTTCATATGGATTTTTGTTTGTTTTATTTTTTGAGAAGAAGAGAAATGGAGCCCAGAAAGTTTTAGGATAAAATAAATGTTAATAAAAATAGAATGGGAATATCTTAACATGTAATACATTTAAAAGAAAAAACAGAAGAGTAATAGTGCAAAACGCATTTCCTACCAAACATAGTCTTTCATCTGCAATATCTTACTAACACATCTCGTTTGGTGGTAAAGGAATTGCCGGAGTACTGTCTTCCTTTGCTGGTTATAATCTGATCTTTCGCCTGTATGACTCCCCGTGATACTCATCCTGGTTTTCTGTTTGTCTAGAAACCCCTGGGGCCCGATGACGCCATCGATGCCTTGTCCTCTGACTTCACCTGCAGTTCTCGCACCGCTGGTGGGAAGAAAGCGGAGAAAGAGGTACTGTGTTTAATGCTAGAGGGGAACTTGTTAGTAGCCCTCCCGAACTTTAGAACAACTACTTTCTAGTTTTGGTTATTACATTTCCCTCCTCTACACATTTAATCTTTTGTATTTTGTTTTTCAGAAATCTACGGGAGAAGTTTTAAAAGCTCAGTCAGCCGGAGTAATCAGAAGTGCTGCTCCACCCCAGGAGAAAAAAAGAAAGGTGGAGAAGGTATAAACAATTACTTTTTGGAAAATAACCATGTTTCGAGGGGCAGCAGCTGCCTTCCTGAGGCTGATGTAGCTGATGCCAGACAGTCCCAAAAGTTCATTTCGCATCCTGGGGCAGACAGGGGAGGGTGAGGAAGGGTGTCTTTCTCCCTGCAGGTTGGTGGAGCATTGAGATCAATCAGGATGATACTCATCACCTCCAGGCAGGCCTTCCTTGTTTCTGCAGAAGTTCGTGGGAGATTTCAGCACAATCTTCTTGGTTGTGGGTTAAGACCATCTTACTATTCCAATGCACAGAGGGCAGGGTGCCAGAGAAATGACACTCTTGGAACATAAAATAATCAACGTGGCTTTCTCTAGGAATTGGAGCCCTGGGAAGCCACTAGAGGGGTCTTGTTGTAGCCACTTCTGTCCACCTCTTGTAACCACAGTCAATGCTGGCTAAATCTCACAAGCCCTGAGATATGGTCCTCCAGCTCTGGGCTGCAGGAGAAAGCATGGCCCGTGTGCAGACAGGCCAGATAATGCGAGGAGCAGTTGCTGGGTAGCGCTCTGCCTCTCCCCTCCTGGAGGGGACGGTTTATTTTTATCTGGCCGGCAGAGGAGCAGTCAGAGCACCACACCCCGAGAGTGGGTGTTCCCATAGGGAGCAGCCTTTGTGCCTCAGAGGAGAAGGCAGCGGGGGCCACCCAGGTGCCCCTGCTTTCTGGGCTTAGCTGCTGCGCTCAGGGACAGGGTCGCCTGGAGTCATTTTTAGAAAAAGAAAAGCAGGATAGTGAAAGTTCGCTTCTTGCAGCTTTTATTTTGGCATGGGTGTTTTATAATGGCATAGTTATGATTAGAGGGATATTTCTAGTGTGCTAAGTAAGAGGTGCAGTGTGCCCCTGGGGCACTGTTACTGTAGGAAGAGTCTTGGCCCCCATTGTCACTCCCTGGTAAGTTCTTTATCCTTTCTTTCTTTTGCTAGGCTTCAGGTAAACTTGCCTTCCTAAAGTCCTTCCCCAACTCACGATCCGACTCTTAGATTTAAAATGTGTATCTCACAAAGAAGTGGATGGGTTGTTCAGGCTGAGGAGATCCTCTCTTTTATTTTTATTTTTTAAATTTTAATTTCTTTATTGATTACTGTGTTACATATGTGTCCTTATTCCCCCATTACCCCCCTATCCCCCCCACTCATGCCCTCACCCCCCCCCTGTTGTCGTGTCCATTGGTTAGGCTTATATGCATGCATACAAGCCCTTTGGTTGATCTCTCCCCCTTTCCCCCACCCTCCCCTTCCTTCCCTCTGAGGTTTAGTGATCTCATCAATGTTTCTCTGTCTCTGGTCTCTTTTTTTAATGGACAGATTCTTTCCTTTGTCACAGGACGCGATGAGTGACCAGGCACTGGATGCGCTTTCGGATTCCCTGGGCCGCCGGAAGTCAGAACCCGAGCTCGACCTCAGCTCCATTAAGGAAGTTGATGAGGTACTGACCTTCGAGTTCATGTACAGAGCATGTTAGTCTGCAGGTTACAAAACTGAATGTGCTATGTGTGTCTCGAATGATTTTGTTTTATTGGAAAGCTAAAACGGACTATTCTTCATCCTGCCTTCCTTTCAGGATCTCTGGTTAATTTAGAGACTTCTGGCAGGGGAGTGAGCAGCCAAGAAGTATATTTGAGTGTTTGTCTTGAAAACCATCTAGAATTTTAATATTTAAAATGAACACTAATCTCCTCTGCCAATGCCTGAATGATACCTGACTAAACAAGATAAAATGGAAACAGTGGGCTGTTGAGAAATAAGTTTGTCTACTCTTATGGAAATTAGAAATTTGTATTTTCAGAAGGGTGTGGGGTGGCTCTTTATAAGGAGAGAAGCAGGTGACTGTAGGTGGGTAGGGAGTTCACACACACACACCACACACACACACACACCCCGTGGGGAAAGATGTTGAAATTTGTCTCAAATTAGAATAAATCCAGCAACAGTGACTCTGTAACTGAAGCTGCCGTGTGCTTTGAGCGTGATGCTGGGCAGTTTTTATCCCTCCTCACTTAACAAGATCTTAACAAAGCCAAAGCAAGCTTGAACTGAGTGGAGTTTTAATATTAAATTACAATTTTTAAAGAATTTTCAACTGAGTCCTGTGAGGGAAAAGAGGACAGAAGAAAATTGCCCTGGGACATTCCCAGCAAGGCAGTGTGTGTCTGGGGAGGGGAGGAGGGGACATGGATGTGCAGTCTGGGCCCTTAGGAACAGCACCCTGTCAGCTGGGTGTGGAGGGGGGTGGAGTTGGCAGGTGCCCCTGTCACAATGCCACTGCCTCTGCTGTCACTTCCTGTTCTGAGTCACTGGGGAAGGTGAGTCTCAGACTCCCAGCCACTCTCCCTGAGTCTGGGACCCCCCTGGTCCAGAATGGGCCAGTTTCTATCTTCGACTTTCCTCGAGGGCTCCCCAGATGCAGTGTGGCACAGCACGTTTGGTGAAGGCGAACACAAGGGAGCCGGGGAGACGGCCCTCGTCTTCCAGGACGAAGTAATGTATGGGGAAGAAAGGGAGCCATTACAGCATCATGCGGGACGCACGTTACTGTCTAAAGAGTGGTCCAGGCAGAATCCAGGAGGCAGGCGTGTCAGCCCACGTTGAACTGGGGTTCCACCACCAGAGGGCTCCATGGCCATGAGCCTCGGGCTTCTATAGAAAATTAGAGTGATTTAATGTGACAGTCATTAGGGGAGGGGAGGTATCAACATAAATCCCAGGACTAAAAAGAGTCTTAGAGGGACTAAAAATTAGGTAAATAGATAATGTAACAATAAGTGAAATAGCATAACGGAGTAAGCTGATGGTGAACTCATTACTTCCTGGGTAGCCCGCTGTGATAAGTCTGGTAAAGATCATGTCCTCCAGGAGTTCACCGCCACGCCGTACATTCCACCGGGGAGCTCTCTGAGCAAAAATTACATAGTGCCTCAGAGAAGGGGCCTAGGCCTCCTGGTCATTTTTATAAGGTATGGTAACAAAGTAATATTTATAATGATAACTCATTAGTCACCTCCCCCATTTCTATGTGTAGTTACGTAGTCTGGTACTATTTCAATTGAGTAGATGTTTACTTCCCACAACTACAGTGCAGGCATTTAAAGAATATAAAGACCAAAGGAATAGAAGGGTCCTAGCTGGGCAGGTACCTCTCCTTGTGGGCAGACCTGAGCGGAAGTGGAGGTGGGGGATGAGGGACAGGTGACTGTGCCTTTCATGAAGACTGGTTTGTAGGCAGAGACCCCACAAATCTCCAAATTGAGAACCACTAATCATAGGGCCTCTTCCATATCTGCAGTAGAATATAACTGGAAATGTTAAAAAAATAATAATAATAAAACTAAAAAAACAAACAAACAAAAAAAACCTTTCATCCCTTATTGAGAGCTGTTAAGCTATAAGACATATAAAACGGTAGAACATCTATAGAACAATAAAAGTGTACTCCAAAGCCTAGAAGAGTGCCTGGTTCATTAAAGTGCTTAGTAAATCTTTTTTTTTTCTTAATTTTTATTGTTCATATTATTACAAATGTCCCTCCCCCCCCTTCCCACCCCACCCTCTGCCCTTTCCCCACTCCCCATTGTCCTCATCCATAGGTGCACAGTTTATGTTCAGTATCTTCCCATATCCCCCTCTCCCCTTTTCCCCAAGAATCATCAGTTCACTCCCCTTCCATACCTCTGATTCTATTATATTCAACAGTTAATATTGTTCCTCAGATTTTTTTTTTTTTAATTTCCTTGGTTTTTAGATTCACTTGTTGATAGTTACGTATTTGTTGTTCATAATTTTTATCTTTATTTACTTTCTCTTCTGAAAGAACCCCCTTCAGCAATTCATATAATTCTGGTTTGGTGGTGATGAACTCCTTTAGCTTTTTTTTATTAGTGAAGCTCTTTATCTGACCTTCGAATCTGAGTGATAGCTTTGCTGGATAGATTATCTTTGGCTGTAGGTTCTTACTATTCATCACCTTGAATATTTCTTGCCATTCCCATCTGGCCTGCATGGTTTCTGTTGAGAAGTCAGCTGACAATTGTATGGGTGCTCCTTTATAGGTAACTACCTGCTTAGCTCTTGCTGCTTTTAATATTTTCTCTTTGTCTTTTGCTCTTGGAATCTTAATTATGATTTGTCTTGGTGTGGTCCTCTTTGGATTCCTTTTATTTGGAGTTCTGTGTGCTTCCTGGACTTGTAAGTCCAATTCTTTCCCCAGGTGGGGGAAGTTTTCTGTCACTATTTCTTTCAATATGTTTTCGATATCTTGCTCTCATCTTCTGGGACCCCCATAATTCTGATGTTGGATCGTTTGAAGTTGTCCCAGATTAGTAAATCTTTTTAAATGAATCCATTAACTAATCATTCAATGGAGAAGTACAATCTTGGGCTGAGATGTAGGTCTAAACAGTGGGTTGAGCTGGAATTTGCTGAGTGACACCTGCCCGCCTTTGTGCCCAAGAGCTCCTTGGTTTGAATCTTTGCCTTGCTGTAGGTACACATTGTGACATATCACGGAACTTCGCCTTACTCACCAGTTGCTTAAGATGCAGATGTTATATCCTGGAAGCCAACGATCTAGTAGAGAACTTCTGTACATTTTTTTGTCTGATGGAGTTGGAAGCTCATGGTTCACTAATCCAGTGAAGTCCTGGTGATATGGAAGGGAGTCCTTGTAAAAGAGGCAAAGCTAGTTGTCCATGGATCAGCCCAGATTTGTGATGGGCTGTTTCTCCCGTTTCCGACTGTGGCTAACACTCAGGAGGATTGGGTTTCTCCCCTGCACAGAACCGCCTCATTGACTAAGAAAGATGAAGGCTGTTGAAATAATTGCAACTAACTTCTGCATTGTGCCTGACTGTCTCAAAGGATATTTTGTTCGCCTTTCTCTGGCAATCCTTACAAGTCAGTAGCTAGGCAAGGATTATTAGTAGGCCCATTTTATAGCTAAAGAAACTGAGCCAAAGAAAGACTTAAGTGGCTCCCCAAGGTCATGCAGTGCCTGAGAGCAGGGCTGGGTCACCTCCCGGGATTCCTGGCTGTTTTTCTCAGTCACCCCACTTGCTGCCTTCCTCAAAGCCACTCACCCCAACTTTGCCTTGTAGTTTGCAAAGCCCTTACAGACACTTTTTGTCTGAATTGGTCTTCTCTACACCACCTATGAAGTACATAAAGTGATGCTATCTTGTTTTACATATGTTATTCAAATGTTTACTTATTCTGTTATCTCCATTTTCCTCAGGCAAAATCCAAAGAAGAGAAGCGAGAAAAGTGTGGTGAAGATGAAGAAACAGTCCCAGAGGAGTACAGATTGAAACCAGTCACGGTACGTTGTTAGCTACGGTGCACACAGCAGCGCCTGCCTCTGCTTTCCGTGGTGTTTTGGGTGAATGTCCCAGGGTGCAGAAGGACTCGTCTGTCCTGGTTTCTGTACTAACTCTGAAAGCCCTGGACCCTTTCATCTCTGCTCTCTAGAGTTGGACCCCGAAAGGGATGGTTTCCTAAGTCGTGACCACGTGGTAATTAAAATTCCCACAAATTCAAGCTTTTCTACTATTTACAATACTTGACGTAGATCCTGTACCTTAAAGCGGAAGGGCAATTTGGGAATACTTTTTTCCTCTAGCTGCTATCTGGATAAAAGCACCATTGATCTCAGTGGTGGATAGAAACGTAGGCTATTTCTAATTGTTCTTGGTTAAGGTTTTATTTTGAGGTCAGAATGGTGGATGAATGCCTGTAATTATAGCTGTAATATATCTTTGAAGTAATCAAGTAAACATGTTAGAAAATAGTTGTGATTTTTATCTATTTTCATAGATGAAAAGTTTTTCACTTTTAGAAATACTCTAAATTGTGAAACCTCATATCCAAAAAATTGAAAACAGGATTTTAGGAATAATATCTACCTCTTCACCCTGGGTTGGAAAATTGACACTTAAAAAAAAAAAAGGAATGTTTTATTAAGGTAGTTGCACCTTTCTTGTCAAAGATATTTTAAATTCAATTTTCCTATTGAATAGGCAAAATTTTTAAGAAAAGTAAATGTGCATTAGATTTGATATTTGGTCCCTTGATTTTTACATCTCAACTCTTAACTCTGATACTTTATAAAAGATAAACCTGAAATAGAAATTTGACTCAAATATAAGGAGAAAAAAAGCTCTTTTTTCATATTCCTGCAATTTTCCAAGACAAATATAATGGAAAATGAAAGCAAATTTTTCTATTTAGTTTTCAATAAATTTTTAATTTCATTTGCAGGATAAAGATGGAAAACCACTATTGCCAGAACCTGAAGAAAAATCCAAGGTTGGGAAATAAGTTTTTTCTGGATACTTACAGCACAATAGAACTGCAAAGTATAAACTGAGATAATTGTGACAGAAGGATGAGGAGAGGGAAACTGCTGATAGCAACACTTGGCTCCGATCTGTGACTCCTTTTCACATATTTATATTGTTTTCCTCATGGGTTAGCACTAGACTATTATCAATTGCGAGGTGACATCTATTGCACCTTAGGAGCTAATGTCAAGAGGGCCTTAAATTAGGTTGTTAGCACTTTGCTTGAGTTTGATTCTAATCACAGCAGCAAGCACTTTAATGGTTCTGCACTGCTGTTACTGAAGTTGGTTTGGTATCAACCAGCAGCAATTATTAATCACTTACTATGTGCCTGGTTTCATAGGCTATCTTTTTGAGTCCTCACTAAATGAGAAAGGTGCTATTATTATTCCCATTTTACAGGTGAGGAAACAGATTATGTAAATAGCCTATAGTCACACAGTTAGAAAATAGCAAGGCCAGGAATCCAAATTCAGGCCGCCCAATTCGGGGCCTAGATTTTGAATTCTGTCATAGTTCACTCTTATTAGGAAAAGTCACCAATGCCCTAAATAGATAATCCACCTCACCTGCAGGAACTAAGGATAACAGAACTTCCTGCCAAAACCCCACGGAGTCATAGGAGAGGAGTACATAATCTATTCTTCCTCTGACTTACTCAAAAAGGAAGTCAGTGGGAAGGAGAAAAAACAGTTGCAAAAGAAAAACAACACACATCTCCATTGGGAAGAACAAACAATTTTATTTGAGCAAAATTACTCTGTAATTGAAGTATCAAGAAAACTTTAAACCATTAACATTTTTGTGGCACTGAGGTGTCTAATATTCCTTATTTGTTGCATAACATCTTACATTGATAAATGAAATATCTATAAATTAGCTTTGTTGTTTCTTTCTCCCTCTCTCAAAAAAAATTTTTTTAAAATAAATTAACTTTTGGTTTTAGATCTCATATGTCCTAATTTGTGTTAACCAGAAAAAAATTCTTCATGAAAACTTTTTTTTAAACTACTAAGTAGAAAATACTGACTTCATAATATACAATGTCTCTTGTATTACAGCCCCTCAGTGAATCAGAACTCATTGACGAGCTTTCAGAAGATTTTGACCAGGCTAATTGTAAAGAAAAACAATCTAAGCCAACTGAAAAAACACAAGTATGTTTCTAAAACTAAGTCTCTAGCTTTGTTTTTTTGAATGATTTTCTAAAATCTTAAAAGTATGATGCCAAAAGTGTTTTAACATGAAGTGGTTAATAAGAAAGCCCATTATGCTGTCTTTTTGTACATGCAGCTTTGTTTTGCCTTTTTCTGAAGGTGCTTTCTTTCCCCAAGCTGACCTTGACTTCCTCGCAATTTGAGACCTGTAATTATTCCTTCAGGAAACTGTTCACGCCCATGCTTTCCTTTCTATTCCTGCCTCTGTGACTGACCTTGCTAAAGTTGTCACACCACTCCCCTCAAAATGGCAATGGCCTCTGCCTTCAGTCTCCTTCCAGTCCATCCTGCATGTCCACCAGACTTCTTGAGCATGCTTGTAGCTATGACATTCCCCTGTGCCAGCCCTCAGGAGCTACCCATTTCCTACAGAAGAATTTCTGCTAATATGTTCTGGCCCCAGCCGCCTTTTCTCCCCAGGTGCCTCCCCACATCACTAAACCATGACACTGAATGTGTATCTCCATGGCTTTGCTCACATGGTTCCTTCCATCTCGAAAAACTCCCCTCTTAATTCTACGTCAACCCCGAGAATTTCTGATTTAGTGTGTTGGCGTAGGGGCCCGAGAATTTACATCCCTTGAAGGCTGTGCTAAAATATGGCCTCTGTCTCCTACTTTTCCCTCCCCAAACCTGACCACACTTCCAACTCTAAGCAGGATAGAACATTCCAGAGAGTCTGTAGTTCTTTCTTTATATATATATATATATATCTGGTAAGGCATTTGTTGCAAACAAGTTATTAGTTCTTGGTACTTCTTTACACCTTATATTTATACAAAGTTTTAAGTAGTCATCTGTTAAACACCGTGCACATAGATTTTCATAAATGCCCGGATTATAAATAGTTTATTTGAATTTTTACCTTGTGATAAAATAAAGCTCTCAAACTTTAGCATACAGCAGGATCGCCCGAGGGTTTGCAAAAACAGATTGCTGTGCCCTACCCCTAGAATTTCTGATTTAGTGTGTTGGTGTAGGGGCCCGAGAATTGACATTTCTAATAAGTTTTCTGGAAATGCTGAGGCTGCTGGTCCATGGACTACACTCTGAGAACTCCTGGGATAGTATTACTACTTGTATTTATATATAGCTATTTACAATGTGCAGGGAGTTCTTAGATACATAAAAATGATGTATTTATGTAAAGTCTTACATTGTATTATACGATTGATATAAGATGAGAAATAAATAATTCATAAAAATAAGAAATAACAGTTGCTAAAATTTATTGCATTTACTGTTTCCAGGTACTAGGCAAAACACTTCACGTTTTATCTCCTTGAAGCCCCTTGCTAACACTTGATTTGTGGTACCACTATCGTTTTCACTTTTCAGATGTGGAAACTGAGTCTTCCAGAGGTTAGGTAACCTACCGAAGGAGAGAGGTAAAACTAAGTTGAAATAGCGGTAGCCGAAGAGCTTTAACGTGCCTTGACTTATTTACTGTTCAACAATCCTAGGTATCCAGGAGAATCACGCTCACAGCGTAGTCTATGGCTGAGTGTATTGTTGATCCATCATTGTTCAGTGTTACTAGCCCAGTAGCGCTCAGAATGTGTCATCGTGCCTGCTTCTTCCCACAGGAAACGCAGGCCGCTGCCCCCGCTCCGGTGGGAGAGGATGTGCCTCGGGCCTCCCTGTGCAGTGTGCAGTCAGCACCACCCCAGCCCGCGGCCCTGGTGAGTGGTCCTCTGGGCCCCCAGAAATGTCTCCGGGAGGTAATATTCCTCCCACTGCCTGCTCTGTGCACCAACATATTCCTCCCACACACTGCCTGCTCTGTGCACCAACATATTCCTCCCACACACTGCCTGCTCTGTGCACCAACATATTCCTCCCACACACTGCCTGCTCTGTGCACCAACATATTCCTCCCACACACTGTCTGCTCTGTGCACCAACATATTATCTTATTCTGACACAACAAGAAAGTCTTCTCTAACTGTAGTCACTACTATTTGGGGACTCAAGGGGTGCTAGAAAGTCAGGCTATATTTACATTTTAAATTAGATTCCTAAACGCTGTGTTTTTTCTTGCACCTTCTGAAATTCTTCCTAGTTCCTCTGTGATTGTGAATAATCATGCCTTTTCACTCTACTGCATTTTTTAAAGCCTGGAAATAGCCCAATCTCCCTTTACTGACTGTGTGTGTATGTGTGTGTGTGTGTGTGTGTGTGTGTGTGTGTGTGTGTGTATGTGTGATAATCTGCACCAGTATCATCAGGACTCCCACTCCCACCTGGAGGGGGAGAGATTGACTCAGCTCCTTCATATCTTGCCTCTCTCTCTCACTTTCCATCTTTTGGATGAATTCTGATACTTACCTAGTTGAATCGTTTCCTTTTGAATTCACTAGCTCATAGAGCCTGGCTTAGAGAATAACACCAGTGGACTATGTTTCAGTACTATGGACTTGGTGGCTCTGTACTCTGAACAGCTCACCTGTTCTAGATGCTTTATAATATCTTCTTAAACTTCCACAGGGACAGGATACAGACTGATCATCTCTCATAGATGAGGGAAATGAACCTATAACTTGACCTTGAACAAGCAACTTAACCTTTCAGAGCCGTAGCTGAAATGAAACTATGGCTCCAGCCCTAAGCTACCTTCTAGGCTAGTGTGGAGATAGGTCAGATGTCAGGCTGACGGCAGGACCTGGTCAATCGTGTGGCAAAGGGCAGAGGGAGTGTGGGTGCTTCACCCTCCGGGAAGAAGGAGGACAGGCTTGCCGGTGATGGCAGTGTCACACTGAGATGGTGGGAGCAGCACTGTCTGTGGGGAGACCAGTGAGCCGAGGACAGGCTGAGCCCCGGGGTGTGCGGCACTTGGTGTACTTGGGATGTGTGCATGTAGGTGTCCGAGGTGCAGGGCAAGTGTCCTTGGATGTCCTGAAGTGGCTCTTCCCACCAGGGAAGTCCTGGGTGCCAACTGCATATCCCCTCAAAGCCCAGGGCCTCCCTCCTGCCACATGCAAGATTTGAGCGCCCCCCTCACCTTTTTTTTTTTTGAGGTTTCAGGGTACTCTCTAGAAGTTCAACATTGTGGGAGCCAGGCATAGGCCATGGTAGCAAAGACCAGGAGAGAGGAGAGACTGGAGAAGGAATAGGGACAGAGGCAGTGATGGAAATCAGGACGATAACAGCCAACATTCCAGGGCAGAACCCTTGTGACCTAAGCATGTGTCACCTACTCCTCATGCCAAGTGTGATTGCCAGGCCCACAGAGGGCTCAGTTACTTCCTTCCCAACGTCACCCTGACTGTAGAGCCAAGCATTGGGTGTACAGTGAACAGAAAATAAACAGAGCTCTTGTTTTTCCATTCTCTGACCCCCTTTCCCGGCCTCTGCCCCAGCAGCTCTGGTTACCACGGTTGCCAGGATTACTGTCACCGAGGTTCGTGGGCATTTCTGGGATTGTGACACCCTTGGGAGCCAGAGAGAATAGCTACAGTGTGTGCAAAAGGTCAGAGGACTCGGGAGAGGCTTGAGGATTAGTGAGCAAAAGGTAACAAAGACCAGAGGCCGGAGGTGAACATGTGCCCTGTGTGGTTCTTGTTTGTATAAAAAGAACATTTATTGAGCCGAAACCGGTTTGGCTCAATGGTAGAGCGTCAGTCTGCAGACTGAAAGGTCCTGGGTTCGATTCCGGTCAAGGGCATGTTACCTTGGTTGCGGGCACATCCCCGGTAGGGGGTGTGCAGGAGGCAGTTGGTCAATGTTTCTCTCTCATCGCCGTTTCTAGCTCTCTATCTCTCTCCTTTCCTCTCTGTAAAAAATCAATAAAAATATATATTTTTTAAAAAAGAACATTTATTGAGGAAATCCAGAGACCCGAGTTCTAGTTCTGAATCTGACAACATGAAATGCCATAGAAGTTTTAATCCTTAGTCCTATTTCCAGATTCCTTGTTCTTAAGACTGCTGCTGCTTCTCAAAGCTTTTCTGTTGCACTCCTTTCCCCCCCCCCATGAAATATATTGGGTGTTGGTTAATAAAATTATATAGATTTCAAGTTTTATAATCCTATGACTTACCATTTGTATATGTAACCCAAAGTCAAATTTTCTTCTATCACTACATATTTTACCCCTTTACCCTACCTTCCCCACCCCCCTGCTTCCCTCTGGTAACTACCTTACTGTTGTCTGTGTCTGAATTTTTGTTTGTTTTTCTTGTCTGTTCATTTGCTGCTTTCAGTTTTATATCCCACACATGAATGAAATCATATGGTTCTTGACTTTCTGTCTGATTTGTTTCTCTTAGCATAATATCCACTCATTTTGTCACAAGAGGCAATAATTCCTTTTCTTAAGGCTGGAAATCACTTATTTCTTAAGTCAAAGGACAGAGGCTCGGGAAACAGTGGTTTCGAAAGATTCTACAGCAGAGTAGGAGAAGGCAGGCGTGGAGTGTGAGCTGGTGTCTGGGATCAGATAGCAACTCAAGTTGCTTGGATAAGATTTGGGATGGCTGCAAGTCTTGCAATTTAGATATCCCAAACAATTCGATACAGCAGGGATTGTTGTTGCTCTTGGAATAAAACCTATGCAGCGTCCAACCACTAGATGGTGATACATCACTTTCCTCTTAGGCTCCGTTCCTGGGTGGTGGTACTTCCTTAGGCAGTGCCCTTTAGCCAAGAGCCAACTTGCTTCACTTGGAATGACGGCCGAGCTATACAAGAGAAAGAGACTTTTACTCTGAAATCCCAACATATACTCAATAGGCGGTCATAGGCTTTTCTGGTAAGAATAAAGTTTGAGAGACTGTTTAATTCAGAGGCTTTCATAGTTTTGACCAAGACCGATAGTTGGAAGTGTATTGATATCACAACCTAGGACCCACACAGTGGAAACAGCAGTTTGATAAGTAGTACTTATTCTTGTTATGCAAGATGTCTTCTGTTCTACTCTTTCATTAAAAAAAAACAAAAGAATGTCCTGGCCATGAACTCTGAATTGACTTTACAAGCCATTAACATGTGGCTCGTGGCCTGTGGTTTGGAAGAAGCCAGGTATAGTCCTTTCCTTTAGCCCAAATGTAGTTTCTTCATTTTCCCCCCCTTATTCCATTTATGCTGTATGTCCATCCACTTTCTCACTCCGTCATGCGAGGAGCACATTTCATTGGAACAGCCAGACCACAGTGTCATTGTGCCCTCGAGTCGGTCAGCCACAGGCGTTCACCCGGATCAGCGTGAACCCCTTTGGCCAGGGGAGCCTGGCGGGCCCACGCAGGCTTCTGTGCCTCAACAGGAGCCCGCCTCTCCGGACGGCCAGGCTGGCTCACAGAACATCGAGAAGAATGTCCTCTCTGGGGCTTCTCTGGAAATCTTCCCTTTGCCGCCTCAAAAACAGTCACAGGAAGTCACTCCTTTCTTCTTTCCTGGCTATCACTTGTCTGTGGTACACCTATTCCACTGCCTGCCTTATGTCCAACCAAAACCGCCGGGTTAGAGCTTACGTTCCTCAGTGCCAGTACATCAGTTGCTCACACTTCATGCTTCATATATGAAACTTGCTCTGATTTCTAACGTTTTAGATTCTAATTCAGTTGAAATTCAAATTATTAAAAGATAACATGCGCTGCTTATGTAGGTCTGAAAGAAAGATATGCCCTTTGAATTACTTGATGTAGTCTCTTTAAAAGGAGGCATTAACCACCTATTTCATACATCCACTTTTCAAAGGGCATGGTGCCAGACGATGCTGTGGAAGCCTTGGCTGGCAGCCTGGGGAAGCGGGAGGCAGACCCAGAAGATGGAAAGCCGGTGGAGGATAAAGTCAAGGTAATGGCAGCTCAGATACTCCTAGAAAGTAGCTACCATTGATTACCCTCAGTCCCCAAATAAGTTCGTCATTTTTTAGACGGTTTCCCACATCACGTGACCAGCTGGCTTTCTCTGTTGCCGCACATACCCTGCTTCATAAGCTCAGCCTGCGTGAGCATCAGGTGGAAGCTCAGTGGTGGGTGGACAGCATGCTCGTGTCGGAGCCCTGGGTCCCACCCGGCCACCTGCACTCCTGTTGTCCAGGGCTCGGGAGAGAAGCGGCGGTTGCCTGCTTCCTCGGGACTTCCTTGTAGTCCAGCGGGCTCCGGGGTGGGTCTGTGCCTGCCAAACTGGTGCACTGTGAAAGTCTAAGGTGCCATCGGAACTCTGCACGTAGGGTCAACTGTGAGTACTAACCTAGTGAAGGCTATATTGACCTCAACTGGAGTCATGCAGGCATCCGCTCTATGGAGAAAAGATGTACTGACAATGGAAATGGTATGATTTCTATTCAGGAGAAAGCCAAAGAAGAGGATCGTGAAAAGCTTGGTGAAAAAGAAGAAACAATTCCTCCTGACTATAGACTAGAAGAAGCCAAGGTAAATAGGCTGGGGTATTTTTTCTTCTTTATTTTAATTCATACTGAATTCCACATATGTGAAAAGGGACATGGAAGCAGACCTGGAATATTAAGATCTTGTTTCTTAATACTTCTAACACCAAATAGTATTGATAGTGCACCAGACGTGAAGCTAAAATATTCCCAACTGGCATGTTTAGTCCTCCTTAAAGTGAAAATAATCTAAGGTCTAAGGTACCTAATTTTTTTCATCTAATCCATAGTTTGTTACAATACCAGAAATAAGAAAACATACTTTTATATAGATAAGAAAAGGGAAGTGGACAGTTGTTTCCTATGAGGGAGAATTTGCAACTTTTACATACAAAGGAAAAAATAAGAGCACTGTTTTCTTTATTTAGAATGTACAGATTATTCAGAACAAGGGACAGGGAGACCCCAATATTAACCTGGTAGTTCAAATTCGGCCACTTGAACAGGAGCAGATACATGGGCAGTAGAACAAATGCCAGTCATCTCCATTACGAGCCATTACTAATGAGAATATCCAACTAAACATGAACAGCTCAGCAAAGCCATCCTCGTCCATGTGCACTAGTCACTTGTCAGCAAATACAGGAGCTCTATTGAGCTCTCCCAGGTTAAGAGTTCATTATTCTGCTTGCTTATGCGTTTCTTTCTTTCTTTTTTTTTTAAATTCTGACCCAATGGTATTTTTCCATTGATTTTTAGAGAGAGTGGGAGAGGAAAAGACAGAGAAATATCAAAGTGAGAGAAACACATTGATTAGTTGCCTCCTGCAAAGCCCCAAGCTGAGCCTGGGCCAGGGAGGAGCCTGCAACTGGAATCAAACCTGAGACCCTTCAGTCCACAGACCAATGCTCTATCCACTGAAGAAAACTGGCTAGGGCCTCTTCTGCATTTCACAGTTCAGTTGAAACCATGGCATTTCTATAACTACGGGCTTGTGTGTTTGCTGTTGCAAGGCTTTTAGAGAACCTCTTAAGGGCCATGTGTTCTGTCCCTACTCACCCCTCCCCAAATTGTGGAGGCAGGTAACTCTTCCTCATGGGATGTTGGTTGTTTTCTCGCTCCCTTTGCTGAGTTTTAGTAGCAATTGATTGGCTTTCCCTGACCACTTTGGTGGAAGTTTTGTGTTGCCTCTACGGTTAACCAGCTTTTTCTAAGCAACTTCTGCAAAGCCCTACGACCCCCAGGCTCCCCCGAGGCTCCTCGTGTCCTGCAGGTGCCCTGTCACAGCGCCATGCGCCACTACACAAACTGTCCACGTGTTTTTTTGGGGTTTTTTGGCGCTTGTTTGTGGGCTTCCGAGGTCACAGGCTGCCCCATCTGCATTGTAGCTCCGTGCCCAGGGAGTGCCCGGTATATGTGAGCCATTCATGGCCATGAACTAATTATGGCATATTCTCTGGTCAGAGAATTTGTTTCCTGAAATGATGATCTAATTGATAATGCACAGCAACATCAGGCATAATCTGACAATGTCTACAAGGGTTCATACTTAGGATGAATATGAAATGACTCAGTGCCATGTTTTTCTCCCCTGGATAGGACAAAGACGGAAAACCACTCCTGCCAAAAGAGTCCAAGGAATCGCTTCCAGTAAGCAAGCCTGTTTTCTTTGAGCATGTCTTTCTCACGTGGCCCTGACTGCAATTCAGGAAGGGCATAGCTTTCTTTTTAATGAGTTGACCAGCTTATGAATAGTAACATCGTTTTTGAAGAGGAGACAAATGAGGTGTCTGATACATTTCCTGGTTCTTGCAGCCCTTGAGTGAAGACTTCCTTCTTGATGCCTTGTCGAAGGACTTTGGTGGACTCTCAGACACTTCACCACTTGTAAGTCTGAAACTCATGGTTTTATTTCCTCACTTGCCAAGTGGCAGAAATAAATGGAAACCTGTGACTTAGAATCTGACTTGGGAGCTGAGGAAACAGTCACAGAATTAATGGTCCTTAACCCCCAGTAGCCACAAAAATGTGTTGCATCCTGAAATAGTAAATATTGTTCCAGCGTAGTTAATATTTTCAACAGCGTCACTAAGTAAACTAGTGCGCATGTACTCTATCAAGTATATCTTTGAAAAGAGAATTTTAAATTGAGTTTATCTAAAATTGCTTCTTAGATAACTTTACCAGCTGCTATTCTACAATTTGGTCATTTTCCAAATTACCTCTAAGGAAACTTAGCTTCCTGTGGAATAGATAGGCCTTTAAAGGGAATCCTGTTACTAGAAAATTTGGAAAATGTTGGGTAACCTTAAGCAGGTTTCTCCACGGTAGGATTTTCAGGCCTTTTTTGAATGTGAACATATTGTAAGTCTTTTGGAGTTCCCAAACACATGTAACAGCAGAACCTTTCCTGTGGAGTCTGGGTTATTTAATCCTATGTGGACAATGGCATGGAAAATATGTATCAGTTGAGAAACAGGATAAGTGATAAGCAGAAAAAAATTAGGATTCCTTGGAGTTGTCAGAAGTTTTTGCTCTCACCTTTGTATATAACATTATGTATGCTATGTATATTAGTAACAGATTAGAAAATATAATTATCCAACAAGGTATAGACATATATAAAGAAAACTGCAATAGAAGACATAAATTTTAAAAAAAGAATATGAAGAAATTAACACTCATACATCTAAGGCAGTTTGATAAATGTCTTAAAAGGATGACAACAATTATTTCCAGTCACTTTTAAGTTAATATTTTATTAAGATAGTAATAAGTTACTTTAATATAACTCAAAAGTTATTCTGAAATATATTTGAAAGTGAATGCATAAAAATGTGAAAAAAATATACTGAAAAGTACTTTTCACTCTTTTTAGGGAAGATTAATCTAACTAAATGCTAGGCTTTATAATATAATAATGGTTAAAAAATACAGTTCTGATTCAGAAAGCAAAGTCACAGGGCAGTGGAAAAAGAAATCGAGAAATGAACATAAATGACAGGTTATTATATTTTAAAAATGAGAGAAGAGGTCATTTCATAAAGATTCTGGAATAATAAAAAAAACCGAAACTCATACAATATAACAGGTAATAGTATCATACCTAATATATTATCAGAATTTGAAATATGTGATAAACACTTCATTTGGGTGAGCCAGGCTTGCTTATTCATTGATTTTAACAGTATAAGTTCCTAGTAACTTCTGAGAGGGCAGTTTGGCAGAATTTAGCTAACACCAAAAAAAAAAAAAAAAGTCACTGCTAGAACTTTGATTCAGGGCAACTAATTACACAGAAGAAAGCTGAAAAACTGCAAAAATGTAACAGGAAATGTGTAAACCAACCATGAAGTCATTAGATTACTGAACACTACCTAGAATCATAAATAGGACTAGAAGGTGTGCAAAATAATACCATGGAGTAAGAAATAGAATAAAAATTGCTCTTAAGCTTCTATGTTACTAGGCTTTCCATTTGGATCAAGAGAATTAACCGTAAAGCTATATTAAGAGTTGTATTTAAGTGATGGCATTGTGGGCATACTTTTATATGTAACATACTAACGATCGAAGGTCTTCCTTTTAACAGAACCCATTTGACAATACTAAACTCACAGCTGCCGTCTCCGAACTGGTTTCCCAAACCCCAGCTGCAACCACGCACTCTGCAGGCCCACCCCCGAGCACTCTGGTAAGCAACATATTTTATAAATACTTTTTCCACAGCAGCAACAGCAAGAGGAAAGAGTAGAACTCCTGTTTAGAGTAAGTGGAAATAGACAAAAATTGTTAGAAAGGTTGGGCACCTTCAGAAGAGAGAAGACTGGCGACTTAAGGAGATGACAGAATATTGAAAATGATCAAAGGAAACAATATGTGAAAATATTTTATACATAGTTGAGGAGTTTAAATTGTTACTTTATTAGAAAATGCAGTGTGTACATATTTATTAGATTTTTAAACATTTTTTTCAGCTTTCCTGATAGATTTTTCTCATTTTTTTCTTAACACATAATGTAAATACTATCCGTTATTTAACTTCAAGTTTATTTTATGGAATTGTTCAGTATTTGAGCTTCTCCCCCCCAAAAGAATAACAAACAGTATCATGGACTTGCATTGTTTTCCTCCCATTCACACCAGTTAAAAATGTGTCATTGCCATGCTAGCAATAGAAAAACCTCAGCATCAATACTGTTTTAATTACTTACATGTTCTGAGGGATCAAAGTTCTCCCAGACTTCCTTGATTAATTTTCTGTGCTGTACCAAATGTGAAATTACATCAAAAGATGGAGATTGCCCTAAACCAGACCCCCATCTTCTCCAGTTGAGAAGTGCCGGGCTGGCTAGATGGAGATGAAGTGGCTTTAGTGAAGTCAGCTCTGCTTCCTCTCCTTTTGATGTAGCATCAAAGCTCACTTAGTGCTGTAGTCAGAGGCTCTGAATGAATTTTCAGCCTGTTGGGTCAGCCTCGGGAGCATCTGAAAATATCCAGAGGCACAAATGACAAAGGCCAGACCCTGCGGCAGGCAGCTCCAGCACCAGCAGCTATAACCCTGGGCTCTCATGGAGCACAGAAAGTAGTAAAATGCTGTGTATGTGACACCCATGTGATGAAGTCCCTGTGCCACAGAAAGGAGGAATCATTAATAACCCAGGCTGCCTTGACACTTCAGTTCTTAATACTCAGGTGAGAGGCTCTGCCCTGACTGAGGCCATTAGTAGACATCCACTATCAAAGGCCTTTTCCTTTTTAAGCCAAATGGTTTCTGATTTTCTTTCCTTTCAATTAGCTTACTTTTCCAACTATAGTTTACATCTAATATTATTTTGTATTAGAGGCTCGACCAGTGGGGTCCCTTAGGCTGGCCTGCGGCAACTGGGCCGAAACTGGCTCTCCAACATCCCCTGAGGAGTCCTGGATTGTGTGAGGGTGCAGGCCAGGGGACCCACCAGTGCATGAATCTGTGTACTGGGCTTCTAGTATGCATGTAAGATCTTTAGTTAATCTCTTTTCCCCACCCCTTTTCCCCACCCTCTGAGATTCATCAGTCTGTTCCATGTTTCCATGTCTATGGTTTCCACTCCTGCATTGTGGAGTGGTCAGTGCGCGTCACAGCTACCAGTCAGCTGGTTGAACACTTGGCTGGTTGCTAGGGGACAGGCCAGGCTAAGGGACCCCACTGGTCGAGCCTCTAGTACAAGGTTGCTTAGGCCTTTATATGTATAGTTTCAGATGTACAGCATAGTGGTTAGGAAATCATATACTTTACAAAATGTTCCCCCCATATTTTTAATACTCACTTGGCACCATATATAGTTATTAAATATTAACTATATTCCCTATGCTGTACTTTGTCCCCCAATGCTCCTCTGCCCTGGCAACCATCAGTCTACTCTCTGCATCTAGAGTCTATTTCAGTTTTATTCTTTAGATTCTACACATAAGCAAAATCTTATTTGTCTTTCTCTGACTCATTTCACTTAGAATAATACCCGCTAGATTCGTCCGTGCTATCACAAATGGTAGGATTTTACTCTTTTGATGAACACTTGGGCTGCTTCCAAATCTTGGCTATAATGCTGACAGTGAACATAAGGGTGCATATATCTTTTCAAATTAGTGTTTTGTGGAATTTTGGAGTCATAAGTCAGTTCCATTTTTAATTTTTTTTTTATGAAACTTCATAGTTTTCCACAGTGGTTGCACCTATCTGCATTCCCACCAGCAGTGCACAAGAGTTTGCTTTTCTCCGCATCCTCACCAACACTTGATTTATTGATAGCCCTTTTGACAGGAGTGAAGTGATATCACGTGGTTTAATTTGCATTTCTCTGGTGATTAATGACAGTGAGCATCCTTTCATATGTCTTTGGGCCATCTGTGTGTCCTGTTTGGAGAAGTGTCTATTTGGGTCCTCTGCCCATTTTTAAATGGGATTATTTGTTGTATGAGTTCTTTATAAATTTTGGATATTAGCCTCTAATCATTGGCGAATACATTCTCCCATTTAGTAGATTGTCTTTTCGTTTTGTTGATGGCTTCCTTTGCTGTGCAAAAACTTTTTATGTAGTCCCATTTGTTTATTTTTTCTTTTCCCTTGCCAAAGAAAAGTCAGAAAAATATTGCTAAAAGAAATGTCAGATTTTACTGCTTATGTTTTCTCCCAGGAAACATATGAAGGTGGTCTAATTTTATTTTTTTGCATGCATTTGCCTTTCACAAGTATATTTTAGAATACCTTTTTTAAAAAATCAGTTTTTCCATGAGAGGGTCTAGTTTTAGTTAATATTTTATTTGGAGCCATCACCAAAATTAAGTATAATCTTTAGTTTTTGATTCCTGAGTATATTCATTTAAATATATTCATTTAAATAAACTATAATAATTCATTACTGGGGACATTAGATTGTCACCAGTAGTGTTACATACACGGAAAGCATTTCAAGACATATTTCCAAGCAAATCAGGCCAGGGAATCCCATCATTTTAGGAAAGACCTCTTTTCTTAGATGGTGCAAGACTTTGGGGCAGGGGTAGACAGGCACCAAGAGGTCACTGAGAGCCAGAGAGCAGAGAGAAAAGCACTGACCACAGGTTGGCAGTCCATTGCCTTCCACCCGCCCAGCCCATCTCCCTTGTGAAAATCCTCATGGAAGTATTAGTGGCGGTGTTGGGGCCACTCTCCTAGAGGTGACCTGATTTGGCCAACCAGTGACTAATTCAGATTTTTTTTTTTTTAGCAGAGGGACAAAGAACTCGACGATGCCCTGGATCAACTTTCGGACAGTCTAGGGCAAAGACAGCCTGATCCAGATGAGGGCAAGCCATTAAAGGATAAAGTTAAGGTAAAAAACATTTCAGGTTTTTTTTCACGGCATAGAATACTCTACCCTCTGCACACACAAATAACTTCCAGCTTTGTCTGGAGTTAGTGAATAGTTGGATAACTGTTTCATTTCCTCCCATCTCTGTGGTCTAGGTTGTATCTCTTTACTTCCTTGGTGAGAATGATGCTGTGTCACAGATTCAGGCAAATGTCCTGTTTGTAAAGCCAAACCTTGTTTTGATGAAATAGCACACTGACATCCATCAGTGTGCATTTCTTAGGTGGACACAGTCTGTACATGTAGTGGCAGAGATTTCCCTAGAAGCCTTCTCTGCTGGCATAACTAACTGCCTGCAAATTCCAAAGGAAGAGGGCGTGGGACCAGGAGTTCAACACTGTGCAGAAGTGTGTCTACCAGGCACAAACTGTTCTCCCTCCATATCTTATACAACATGTATTTATACGTAACATGCAGTATTCAACAATCCACAATCCATTTAGCCTGGAGCCAGGAAGTAACTGACCATCCAAATTGGTGTCCCCAAAAACAAAGACATTTCAAAGAATCATTACATCTTGATTCTGCCATTGTCATAGGAATACTGAAAATGTGAACTTAACCGATGCATAAAAAATCTAAAGCACTCCCTGGGCAGGGGAAAGTTAGTGTCACTGGGTTTTGCGGGGGGAGAAAGGCCAGCCATGTCCCACTGGGATGCTAGGCTCAAGGTGCTGCTTACTTAACAGCAGGGATTCTCTCACCTGCAACACAAGCAGTGGGCACATCCATTGAGGGTTGCTAAAAAATAGTGGTTACCTATCTAAAGCCAAGGTACAGTGACTTGATTCTCTTGAAAAGCGAAACTCACAGAAAAAGGTATTTTATGCCCTTGAATTTTATCTCTTTATATGGCTTCTGGAATAGTTATTTAATAATTTATTTCAGTTTAAAATACAGGTGGAAAATTCACAGATGTAAACTGACATAGAAGCACATGGGTTTACTTTTTTTTCCATCAAATAATAGTATGTTCAAGCCATGCATCTTGTTCTCTTTGCTTAAGAAATTAAAAAGATCATACTTTTTGCCTCCGAAAATAACATACAATGAATGTTGCATTTCAAAATGTATTCTGTAAGCGAAGGAGGAAAGGAATATTAATTATATCGATTCGATGATTATAGGAAAGAGCGAAAGCTGAACATAGAAACAAGCTGGGAGAAAGAGATGATACTATCCCACCTGAATACAGACATCTCTTGGATAACGATGATAAGGTAAACAAAGGCAAATGTCTAGATTGGATCTATACAACAAAGCCTTTTAAATTCAACCCTCAGTTGATATGACTAGGAGGGTAGCATAAAATGTAATATGACTATTTTTAATTTGCCCATGATTAGCAGGCTTTCTAGGATTCTGTTTTTTAATATTTATTGACACCAATATTGTTTGATGTTCAGTTATATGGACACTTTGGTATAAAAGAGTTGAATAATGTGCAGTCACTCACTGATGCTCAACAGAGATTCCAAAGCATGTACACAGATGAATTCTTTTTACAAGAAAAGGTATCAAAAATAATATTTGTAATCCTAACTGAAGCAGAGTCTAAGGAGCTAGAATTGGAATAATAGGGCAAACCTGGGGTCTCCTTTTCCTTCTCCTACACCCACAAAACCATATCCTCAATCACAAGTCCCATTTCTAGATCTAAACATATCTGTCAAGAAACCTGGCCTTTGCCTCTCACAGGTCAGTCTGGCCTGTATCTCTCCCCATTCTGTTTGGCTCCTAGTTTCAAGTCAATTAGATGACACAAACCCTCTCCAGGCCTGTTCGTCAAATTCAATCAGGAGAGTGCAACTGCCATCCGTCTTTGTCCTGCATTTGTTTAAAGGAGGCTACCTACCAGCTTGAGTGTCTCTCTTACAGGAATCAGTTCTCCTTGCTTTCATCAGTATTCCTCATGATAGCAATTCCACACCCAGCTAGAATCCACCCTGCTTTGGTAGGCCCACCTTATCCTGCTTGAATCTTTGGGAAATGGATTATTTAATGTTCTTGCCTTTGTACATAGGAAAAAATCCCTGTGCTCCTAAACATCTCATGTCTCTGCAGACTGCTCCTCAAATCCTTCTGACCTATATAATAAGCTGTAGTAACTAAGACATAAAATATTACAAAAGCAACTTGTGATTTTAAGTAGAATTCTAATACAATGATGGCAGAAAGTCCCTAAATAATTTGTGTTTCTTTCACTTCCAGGACCAGACTCTCCCATTTTTCTCCCACAATATTGAAATAGTTATAGGGTGGCAATTAAGCAAAGCTGGTGGAGAAGAGTAGGGACCCAGGCTAATCAGTTGTTGCAAATAGTACATCTCTCAAGTCAAGTCATTGGATAATATTGATTATATAAATGCTGATTACACCTAAATAAACACTTATAAAAATTTATGCCTAACCAATAGTCTGCTTTGCTTTTAAGGACAAACCAGTGAAGCCACCCCCAAAGGAACCAAAGGTAAATATCATAGGCGCATTTGTATACAAAGATTTTTTTTTAATTCTAGCTGCAATTTAGAAATATTTATTGAATGCCCACTCTGTCCTTGGTGTGATGCCAAGACTACTTGAGTATTATTTTCTTTCATTCAGTCTTCCCAATAACCTTTCAAAATAGGCATTTCATTCTCCATATTAGAAAATCAGGGCTCTGAGAATATTAAGCAACTTGCTGTCAATATTAATGTCTCCTTGGTAATACACTACTTTATTAGAAAAAGAATGTCATCAAGTTTTGTTTTTTCAGTAAGGCATGTGGGAAGAGGTACTACCCAGCATTTTTTCCTTGTTTTCTTCACTGGTAGTTATTTCTATGATCTTGACTGATGGTTATTCTAACTATTAATGTTTCAGAAACCTGCAGATGATCAAGACCCCATTGATTCCCTCTCAGGGGATTTTGACAACTGTCCAAGTACAGAAACCTCAGAGGATACAGGAAAGGTACTGTACTTTGTCATATTGACTTTCTTGGAGTGTGTGCGTGTATGTATATATATATATTTTAGACTATAAAATAAATTGATGCCATAGAGGAAAACAATATAATTCTACTACCCTTCAAACACTACTTAGTACATTTGTCTTTTTCCATCTATATATATTTTATTTAGTGGCATTTAGAGTCCATAAAATACATTGCATAATATTTCATGAATGTTTTCCATGTTGCCATCATTTTTTACTGCCACACTATATTGCTGTACAACAATGCTTCCTCCACATCCTTCTGGGCCCAGTTCAACCATCAGCTCCTGACCACTTCTCCCTTTCCTGCCATCTGGGTTACCTATGACCACATGTGTACTAAACCACTCAGCTGTGTACTTCACTTAGTACTGATATGCCTTTTACCTCCATGCTAGCATTAGCAAAACGCCTGGTATATAAAAGATGTCAAAATGTGTTTATTAGTGAATGAAAAAAATATGCGTGGTATTTTACCTTTATATTATATAATATACTCTTCCATAAATCAGGAGAAAAAGTGAAATTGACCATAGATCTTAGTTTGCTATTATGTATATCTTCCAATCACTGAATTTCCAGTCCTTCCCCTATTGGGTGATTTAATTTCTAGACTCTTTCAGAAACTGATTTCTCATTCCTAGAAACTCATTAAATAATGTGTTTTTGGTGAGTGGGCTTTATTTTTTTATACATGACTTCCCCAGCTATCTGTGGTTGTCTCCATTTCTCTTTGTAACACTGAAAACAACATCCTAGTCTTCATGAGAAAAACAAGTTCTGGGTGAATCATGCATCATGGAAATTGTCAGAGCATCAGTGTGACCCACATTTCCCTCACTTTTACCTCCAACCTTCATCACTTCTGTGTACATTCACCATTGTTCAGAAACTCCTGACTAAAACACCCAAAGTTTTCCATTATTTAATTAAATTGGAGATCTTCATGCTACTAAAAATAATAGTCTGAATTTATAGATGGATTAATGATGGCAATAGCCTCATTACCTTTCCTTTGCTTTAGGACAAGGACAAGAAGACTACTTCCAGCTCCAAAGCACCCAAGAATGGGGGGAAAGCAAAGAATTCTGCAAAGGTAAACAAAGCAGTTATCCTTTTAATCACTTAATGCTTAAATTTTTGTTCTAAACAGATTCCAATTAAACACTACCTATCCTGTGTCTTGGTAAAGAAATTGAAGTTTTAAAGAGTTTTCTAAAAAAAACTAGTACTTTAAATGAGCATTCTTATCACAATCGTTAAAACACTACTAGAGTTACCCTAGCTGGTTTGGCTCAGTGGATAGAGTATTGGCCTGTAAACTGAAGGGTCTTGGGTTCGAATCCGGTCAAGGGCACATGCCTGGTTTGTGGGCTCGATCCCCAGTAAGGGTTGTGCAGGAGACAGCCAATCAATAATTCTCTCTCGTCACTGATGTTTCTCTCTCTCTCCCTTCCTTTCTGAAATAAAAAAACACCACTAGAGTCCTATTCTCACCTAGAGAATATCACACAAACCACTGATAGTATCCAAATGTCAGGTTTTCACACGCCCTTTCCAGCCGCACCCCATCTGTAGATGGCGTTGTGTTCTACTTCAAAAAGAAAAATTGAGGTCACTGCAGAAAGTCCTCTTCCCACTTACCCATTGACAAACTCTCTCTCCCAGCAGTCAATAATCCACTCCCTCCAAAATCTTCATCTCAATTTCCCCCTGTATAGTAAATATGTTTAAAAGCAATATTCAAGCTTAGTAGCCCTCTGCCTGAGATCAGCAATGCCATGCTGTTAACTATATCATTAATCTCTTTTAGATTTGATGCTGTCATGTGATTGAGAGTTTAGGGAATATTGGGATGGGTGAATGCATTTTGCACACTCACCTCTTCTAAAGACCCAGGCCACCACTTCCAACTGAACATTTCCACTTGGATATCCAACACATTGACAGTACAGGCTCATATACTGCATCTCATAAATTGAAATTACCATCAATAAAATAAACCATTACTTTGTATATCATTAAGGAAAAAGTCAATTTTATGATATGCTATTTATTGTAAGAACCATTGCAAATTGATATATTTTAAAAGGCAGGGGAAACACCACCAGAAAATATGGTTTATATAAACTTAAGAGTATATAGAATTAGGGAAGATCTTAGAGTTTCAATACTGTGGTATATAATTTTTCATGTTGCTTTCAAAAGCACTAAGGCAAAGTGGAAGCTTTAGGTTCTAGTTTCAAGATTCTCCTATTATTTAAATTATTCAAACTGTTATCAGTAAAGGAATGGAAATTGAATTAGTCAACTGGATCCCTTCCAATTGTTAAACATATGATTCAGGTTATTATTACTCTGATCCCCTAACTCTCATAAGAAATTAAAGGTATAGGTTTAAAACCAGTAGTCCAGCTACATCGCTCTTTACAAGATACTTCCAATTCAAGATAGTAACACAGGAAGAGCTTGAACGTGCCTCCTTCCATGCACACAGAATCTACAACTATACGTGAAACGATTTGCTCTGGGGGAAGAAAAATCCAGAAACTAGCTAAGTGACTCTTACTCATTGGACAAGTGAGGAAAAAAATACACCACATCAAAGCAGGTAGGAGAGGCTGAGATATATAGTCTTGGCATAAATCTTACCCCTAGTGTGGCAACCCAGAACTTCTCCCTGAAGAGCTTAGTTTGAAACCCACTTTTGGCGCCTGATTTTTACTGCCCCTGAAAGACAAGGCCCCAAAACATCTAGCTTTGAAAGTCAAAAGGCTTGTAGCCACAAAACTCTAGCGAACTGATAAAACAGTCCTTAAAGGGTTTTGCACGCTTGGACTCGAGCCCAGCACAGAGGCAGCCAATTGAGAGGCTCCTGATACTTCTATCAAAGAGGCTTAAATGACTTGTCAGCCTGAAGGTCAGGCATCCAGCACAGACCTAGATAATTACTTAACAGGGACAGAGGCTGATGGTGCCACTGTTGCTCTTTTGCTCCAGCCAGCAGGTGTCATCTTGGTGCTCACCCACTGCTTCTTGCCAGCAGCTCTGGAAAGGAGCTCGCACCCTGCCCTGGTGCCTCAATATTTGCAGCTCCTCCCAGGGGACCCCTCTACATCACCTCGTTCTGATGGCCAGTGCGACTGAACCCTTGGGGCCCCACATAACTATACAGTATATCTGTGTACTTTAAAAGCCGCTGCCTGAGAGTCTGGCTCCCAGTCAGCCTGAGCATATGTCCTGACTGAGATCTCCCCACTTTGGAACTCTGACAGATCTCAGCACCCCCTCAGCTACTGGGGGCCGCTTCAATTACATAGGCTGCTTGGGCAATCACAAAGGTTTGAGAGACAAATAGTAGCTAGAACAAGGTTCATTGATAAACTTCACCTCCTCCAGGAGGCCACTCCCTTTTATCTAAAGCACAGACACCAACACTCAATATAATGAAATGAAGAGGAATATGTTCCAAACAAAACAAGAGAAAGCCACAGAAAATGTCCTTAACCAAATGGGGATAAAGAGTTCAAAATAATGGTCCTAAAGATGCTCACCAAACTCCGTGAGACTCACAGAGGAGGAAACTGGGTGAACACAGAACTTTAACAAAGAGTCAGAAAACATAAGTACCAAATAGAGGTTACAGAGCTGAAGAATACGGTAATTGAACTTAAGTATACACTAGAAGACTAAATGAAGAATCAGAGTAGCAAAACGAAAAAAAATGGAAAAGAAAATGCAGATAGCTTGAGGATTGTGTGAGACAACATTTACCCAGGAGAATAGGCAGAAAACTCCCCTGACTTGGGGAAGGAAATAAACATCCAATCTAATGTTGTAAACGTGGTAGATTAGCAACTTAAAACTAGTATGAAGGTTAAACGGCAAAAAGTAAAAAATAACTAACTACAGAAATTAAAGGGTATATTCAACATAAGAAGATGTAAAATGCAACATCAAAAATATATAAAATGGGCTGGGGGTAGGGCTCTGGAATGGATTCAAATTTAAGTTATCAACCTAAAAATAGACTGTTATAAATATAGGTTGCCTCATGGTAACCAAAAGGCTGAATGATACAATAGATACACAAAAAATAATGAGAAAGGAATCTAGGCATACCACTACAGGAAGTCATCGAATCGTAAATGAAGAGAGCAAGAAAAGGAACTGCAAAAGAGCCAGAAAATAGTTAACAAAATGGTCATAAGTACAAACCCATCAATAATTCCTTTAAATGTAATTCTCCTATCAAAAGAGATTAAGGAAATAAATGTAATTCTCCTATCAAAAGAGATTAAGGAAACAAGATAAAACCCATCTATGTGCTGCCTCTAAGCGATTCACTTCAGATCTAAGGATATACACAGACTGAAAAGTGAAGGAAAAAGATATTCCTTGTAAATAGAAACCAAAAGAAATCGGGGGTAGCTATATTTAGGCAAAAATAGCTTTAAAACAGACTGACAGAGAGATGTCAGCATCATGGCTATGTGAGTTGTTCCTTTTTTGTTTCCCCTTCAATTTACAACTCTTTAGACTTTCATAACCGAGCACAGGTGACTGCACAGTACACCAGGATACCTGATGTACTTCTGTCTGTGCATCTGAAAGGGGGTGGTTTGAGGTGCAGAGCCAGGAGAATGGTGGCATAGAGGCCACCTCACTGGCAGAGGAGGTGAAGGGTGAAGGAAATAGGTGGGGATCTTCCCAGCCATGCAGGCTGCAGCAAGGGGGACCCACTGCTCTCTGAGGAGATGCCTTGGGGAAATGGGGGATTACAGCAAAAAAGCCTTCCACCAGTCTTCCAGGACTCCCAACTCAAGGACCCCCTTACCAGGCCATGGGCACACCCAAAGCCCCATGTGCTAAGCATTTCTCTCCCCCCACACTGACTTTTAATTTTTTTAAAAGCCAGCTTATTTTCACAGGCACACTTCCAACTTTAGCAGCAAATCAGCTCTCGTAAGAGAAACCAAAAACGTGTGCTATACAGCCAGAGTCTGGAAAAGTAAAAGTATTCTAATTGCCAGTTAAACAGAATCAAAAGTAAACAAAGCATCACCTAAAGAAGAAAGGCGTTTGTTACTTCAAATGCAATGGCAGAGGCACATTTTATCAAACACTATGAAAGATCATAGTAATACAGTATCACAAAAAGAAAACCACAATTTTGCAACAACCAAAGACATACGGAATATTATTACCTGATAATTCACAGTAGTTGCTATAAAGATACTCAACAACCTATAAGAAAGCTCAAGCCATTCAATGAACTAATGGAAAATTAGTGAACAGAGGAGTACTTTATCAATGACATAAAAATTGTAAAAAAAAAAAAAAAAAAGAACCAACCAGAAATTCTGGAGCCAAAGAATTCAATAAATGAGATGCAGAATACATTAGAAAAGCATTGGAAATGGGGCAGATAAGACTGAAGAAAGATTAAGCAGTCTGGAGGATAGGAATCTAGAAATGATTCAGGCAGAAGAGGAGAGGGCACTAAGACTTTTTAAAAGGGAAGAAACCCCATGAGAGCTATTAGACTCCATTCTAAAAGCCAATGTAAGAATAATGGGTCTACCAGAAATAGAGGACAGAGAGTTTACTTAAATAATAGCTGAGACTTTCCAAATCTGGAGAAGGAACTAAACATAAAAATCCATGAAGCTAATAGAATGCTTTATCTCAATGTAAAAGACTTTCTCCAGACATATTATAATGAAACTGTCAAAACTCAATGATAAAGAATTTTAAAGACAGTCAGGGATAAAAAGAAAATAATCCCCATTAAGATATCTGCAGATTTCTCAGCAGAATCTCTATAGGCCAGGAAAGATGGAATGACATATTCAAAGCATTGAAAAATGAAAATTGCCAGTCAAGAATATTCATTTTGACCAAGTTATCCATCAGATGTGGAGAAATAAAGGCTTTTTCAGACAGACAAAAGCTGAGGGAGTTTTGGTGTTTAGATGCTGGAAAAATATAACTGCCTTTCAAGAAATGCTATGAGGATTTCACACTGAAAAGCAAAAAAGAACAATACTCAAAATGTTGATTACGGTGATATTCAAAATTAAAAAATGCTAATTCTTAGAAAGGTGTGTTAAACAATTAGGTTAAAGGAAAGAAGCATTAAAAATAAATACAGCTACTACAATTTATAACAAATTCACAGCATAAAAAAGATAATATGTCATGTTAAAAATATAAAAGGGGAGGAGTAAAAGAATGTAACCTTTACAGGTGAATGAAGATAAGCTGCTATCAGCAGAAAAAGGACTATTTTTTCTATTTTTAAATAATTTTATAATTTCCCAATAGATTTTGTTCGTTTTTTTCTTTTTTATTCATAAACAAAGTGTTTACAATAATTATCAAGGCAAAGTATAACACACACTTCTTTGTAGTGTCATTATTTTGTCAGTAACATGATTCTGGCCACTACACACACATGAAGGCAGTGGGTTTTTTGTTTGTTTGCTTGTTTATAAACCACATGGAACCACAAAAAATATCTAGAGCAGAGACACAAAACAAAAAATGGTTGGTAGGGGTGGGGCGAATGAACAGATCACTACGAACGAAGGTAGACAGATCAGAAGGAAAAAGAAACAACAGAATTATAAAATAACCAGAAGGCTAAATATAAAATGACACCAGTAAGTCCTTACATATCAATAATCACCTGGATTAAGCTCACAATCAAAGGCCACAGAGCAGGTAGAGGAATTTGTTTTTTAAAGACCCAACTACACGCTGCCTACTGGAGACTCATTTCAGCTCTAAAGACACACAGAGGTTCAAAATGAAGGGATGGAAGATAATGTTCTAAGAAAACAGAAACCTAAAGAAAGCAGGTGTAGCCATATCAGACAAAATAGACTTCACGCCCAAAATTGTTACAAGAGACAAAGAAGGTCATTATATAATGATAAAGCCGTCAATACATCAAAAGGATATATGTAACAACTTTAAGGATCTATCCTTCCAATACCCAAGCATCAAAATATGCAAATACTAACAAATATTAGGGACAGATATACCATAAACAATATAGTAGGGAACTTCAATATTACATCAGAAATGGATAGATGAATCAGAAAGTCAACAAGGAAATGTGGGAATTGAGCCATTCTTGAGAACAAATTGACTTAACAGACATACAAAGAACATTCCATCCAACAGCAGCAGAATACACATTCTTCTGCATTTGGAACATTCTCCAGCATAGATCATGACAAAATACAAAACAAATTAGCACGTTTAAGAAGACTGAAATCATACAAACTATCTTTTTTTACTGCGATGGTATGGAACTACCGGTAGAAATGAACAAGAAGAGAGATCTACAAATTTGTGGAAACTAAACAACACTTTGAACAACCAATGGGTCAAAGGAGAAATTAAAAGGGAAATAAGAATTATCTCAAAACCAGTAGAAATGGAAATACAGCATATCAAATCTTATGGAATGCAGCAAAAACAGTTCTGAGAGGAAAGTTTATAGCAACAAGTACATATACGAAGAACTTAGAAAAGTCTCAAAAAAACAACAACCACCTATCTAAATTTAGTACACCCTGAGGAACTAGATGAACAACAAATTAAACCCAAGTTGAAAGGAAATAAAAATCAGAGTGGAAATAAAATAGAGACCAGAAAAACAATAGAAAGGATTAAAACTAAAAGCTGGAGCTTAAAAAAAAATCTTTATTATTAAGAAAACAGAAGACTCATATTAGAAATAAAGAGGAGACATTACAACTGGTACTACAACTATTCATAAGAACATAAGAAATTACTATCAACAATTATGTGGCAACAAATTACATAATTTAGAAGAAATTATAAAATTTCTTACCTACCAAGACTGAATCAGGATGAAACAGAACATCTGAACAGACCAGAAAAGAGATTGGATCAGTAATCAAAAAATTCCCAAAACACACACACACACACACACACACACGCCAGGACAAGATGGCTTCACTAGTGCATTCTATCAAACATTTGGAGAAGTAACACCAAGCTTCTTCAAATGCTTCCAAAATAGCAGGAAGGAGGGAACGCTTCCAAAGTCATTCTACAAAGCCATCACTACCTTGATACCAAAACCAAGTAAGGATGAATATAGATGCAAAAATTCTCAAAATATTAGCAAACTGAATTCAGGAACACATTAAAAGAATCATATACCAAGACCAATTGGCATTTATCCCTGGATGCTAGGAGAGTTCAACATATATAAATCAATAAATGTAATACATCACATAAATAAAATTAAAGATAGAAATAGCATGATCATCTCAATAAATGCAGAAAAAGCATATGTTAAAATACAGCATCCTTTCATGATAAAAACCCTTAAACTATAGGGTATAGAAGGAACATACTTCAACATAATAAAGGCCATATGCAACAAACCCAAAGCAAACATTTTACTCAATGTAAAAAAAACACAAAAACCTGAAGCTTTTCCTGTAGGATTAGGAACAAGAACAGGATACCTACTCTATTTAATACTTCAATATAGGAGGAACTAGCTAGACCATTTAGGCAAGACAAAGACATAAAAGATGTTCAAATTGGAAAGGAAAAAGTATGGTTTTTTTATATAGAAAATCCCAAAAAGTCAACAAAAAAAGTGGTGGAACTAATTAGTAAATTTTCAGGATTAAAAAAAAAAAATCGACATACAAAAATCACTGGTATTCCTTTACACTAATGATGAAACATATGAAAAAGAAAATATCCCATGCACAATAGCATCGAAAACAATAAAACAGGAATAAATTTAACCAAGAAAATGAAAGATTTGCAGACTAGAAACTGTATGACTGCTGAAAGATATCTAAGACAACATAAACCAATGGTGATATATCCCACATTCATGAATCAGAAGAATTAACATTACTAAGATGTACTTACCACCCAAAGCCTATCAATGCAATTCCTATCATAATTCCAATGGCATTTTTCACAGCAATCTTAACTTCTATGTATTTCTCCAAAGAAAATGAAAACACTGACTCAAAAAGATATGTGCACCCCCCATATTCACTGAAGCACTATTTATCAGAGCCAAAATATGAAAACCTAAGTATCCATCTAGGGATGAATGGATTTTTAAAACTGTGATGTATATATGCACAATAGGTTATATTTGTCCATAAAAAAGAATTAAATCTTGCCATTTTGACAACCTGGGTGGACCCTGAAGGCATTAGGTTAAGTGAAACAAGTCACAAAGACAAATGACATATGATCTCACCTACGTGTGAAACCTCAAAGTTGCTCATGCCATTATCTCAAATAGATTAATTTGCTTATTATTTAACTTCAGTTATAGAAAGCATATGACCACCCCTTTCACAAAAAGTAGAAAGCATAATAATCCTATATGCTGAATGGGTTAGCTGGCTAGCAATTCCCCCCATTGCAGAGAGAGGAATCACTGCAGAATGAAGGAACAATTCCATCTAAGAACACATACATATTCTTTTCCTCAATTACCTTGGTCTTTAAAGGCTGAAACCGGTTTGGCTCAATGGATAGAGTGTCGGTCTGTGGACTGAAGGCTCCCAGGTTCGATCCTGGTCAAGGGCATGTACCGTGGTTGTGGGCACATCTCCAGTGGAGGGTATGCAGGAGGCAGCTGATTGATGATGCTATCTCATAGATGTTTCTAATTCTTTATCCCTCTCTCTTCCTCTCTGTAAAAAATCAATAAAATATATTTTTTTTAAAAAAGGAAATCTAGAGTAAAACATTTAGAATCACTTAAGGTTATTTTTAACTTATAAACTTGAAGGGGAAGAATTCATAGTGCTTTGGCTAAATAAAAAATAATAGAAAGAACCATCTAATTTTCCCTAATTGATTACCAAGTTTTGCCCCTTTAATTTTTAGAAGCCCATCTCCTCAGAAGGATCTTCTGGTTGATCAGTTTTATGATACTTAATCTGGAAAAGGAAGAGCTTTTGATGGTTTTGCTTTCCCTTTTAGGCAAAGGAGGAAACTTCCAAGCCAAAAGCTGATGAAAAACAAACAAGTTAAAGTTCACACTATTTGGTAAGTTGAATGTTGCAAATGAGGGCAACTGTACCTTCTACAAACCTTTGTGTTACAGGTGAGAGAAACTAAGTCTGTTTCTTGAGTATTTCATGTTCTCAAATATTGGCATGAAATGCACATTGCAAAATCTATAGGGTAATTCTCTGAAAAGCACTAAATGGGATGATTGTGCTATTGGGATGTTCAAAAGCAATCTTATAGTAAGAGCTCTCTAAAGTATTAGGCTAGGCTCTTGAAGAAAATGACCATCTAAGTCTAGGGGACACTTTGAAACCCAATTGCTCCTATTTTTGCAGATTACTGTGGCAAAGCAAAATTAGCATGTTGTAATACCTCTTACAGCCAAATGCCTATATGTTATTGATACCAAGTCATGATAGGTGTGGAAAAGTACCCTTTAAGGTCTTGTGGAAAGTACAGGGTTTTTGGAACCAAGGGCAAAGGAAAAGATTGGCTACTTTTGGCCAAATACTATGTTTAATTATACGTTATGTTGACTCACGAGCTTGTATTGATGAGAGAATCTCAGAGATCTATCTTGAGAGCTGGACCCTTAACATGAGAAAGAAGAGATGTTATTATAAAGTATAAAAGCTTATAATTGCTTACCAAACAAAGCCTAAAGGAAATAAAAATATAGATTTCTCTCACCATGTTCCACTTTCAGCTCCATAATAAGGGAGGTATGCTGATGAGAAGTACTCTAAAAGAATCCCTCCAAAATTTAAAAAAATTCTATGAATAATTCACTTTCATATTTACCTATAGGAAATTCCTTCTTGTCTATATATATATATATATATATATATATATATATATATACACACACTATGCTTTTGCTAAATGTTACACTTATTATGCCTTGTAACAACAAAAATTACATACCAAAGTGGTTCACTAGATTTTTGTCTGAATTTTTCAAGGTATCTACATATAAAATCTTCAGCTGGTGGTTGGTGACTTCTGGAGAACAAAAGGCTTTGACAACAAATTTTTCTGGGTGGCTTCTCCACAGAGATCTTTGCTGAGTGTTTTGACATCCTAAACATTGGTTTGTTACTCTTTTCCCAGAAAAAAATTGAATTTGTCTGGTTCACCTGTGCTATTGTACTGAGTATTGATAAACTCTGAGTTTTTAAAAATTGCCTTCAGTTGGGAGAGAAAGGAACTTTATATTTCTAAGATATATTTGATAGTTTCTTAAAGCAGCACACACACAAAAAAAAAACAAAAAACAAAAAAACGGGAAAAACCTTTGCAAAATTTTGCACATCCTACACGCAGTGCCTGTAAATCTCATTAGTATTTTTGGTTTGCACTTAATTTGTTGTTATTGTTAGCATTTGGAAAACAATGCTGTAAACATTCGCCAGTGTTCTGATTTCTCATTACCCCTTTCCTCTTGGGCTTTTGAACTGTATTTGATGTTTCTCTGGGTTAATGTCTATAAGCCCATTAAATATTGTACATCGGGCACATATCTCCTCTTGGGCTGCTAATAATAAATTGGTAGGTAACCTGGACAGACCAGGAAGCACTGCACCTCTTTTCAGGTTAAACTATTTGCCAGAGGTTAGGAGTTACGCACCTTATTGCCACGCAAAGCATACTGAGACTTGAATCAAGTCAGAAGAGCAAGATACAGACTATATTTCACCACATAGCAAGTCCCAAGAATAAAATGTACTCAGAATATTCATATGGCTTGAACTCTGTTGGTTTACTATGTTAAGCTGTGCTTCCAATCACTCTATATAAAACCTGAGCAGCAGCAGTTTGCTTAGTTCTGTTGCACTGTATAGCACCTGGCTTCATGGGAAGTTAGGTTTACCATTGATGAGATTTTGATAAATATTTAATTTCATCTTTACTTCCCGGTAGTGAATGCAGGAAAAGATATCAGGTACATATCATACACTGATTTGGAATTTCTTATTTCAGAGAGCACAGCCTTCTAGCCTATGTGTGAAGGTTTAATTTATTAGGACTTAGCTGACTTCACTAAATATATCATCGCCAATACTGTCTAATAAGGGGAGAGAGACACAAAAACAATAACACTGCTTATAACGGGCGTCAAATTTTAAGACCCTCTATAAATTCAAAAACCATGCAGTACCTATGGGATTTCAAGCGTCACCCACTTTAAATGCTATGTCTGTCCCATCAGAGAGAGCATTTTTCTATTATTCTAAGTCTGGGAAATATAAGCCAGTGTTATGGTGACTGAACAGACCTCTTCAAGGCACTGACAGAAAATAAAACACATGTTTCCTGAGGGATTTTCACTATATATCTAATTCTTCCATTTGGGTAGTACAAAGTAGGTTTTTTTTTGTTTGTTCAAAAAGGTAAAACCTTGGACATTGACAGATGTGTTTGCAAGGATATGGCTGCAGTGTTATTAACTTGATGCATATATAGTATTTTTAAACAGTATACCAAAATTCAGAGAGTTAAGAAATGCCTGTAAAAGTAAACATTTAAGGTACTCTGACTACGCTTTTTTGTTTATTACAAATGTCTTCAAGTATTGGGTGTTTGTTAGTAATTAATGATGGCTTGAGTCAGCTTCAGCATCCAAAGTGGTCCTTTTAACCCATCTAATTAGGAGGAAATAATGCCAAATATCTGCTTAAGGTAAATTATAGCCTTTTATTACCAAACAGGTTTTGCACATTGCTGTGGCAATATTGTGTCCATTTAGGAAATGGACCTCTCCCAACGCAACGGAAAGTAGGTTCCTCAGGTGACCAAACTGAAGACCACTATTTCCACGTTTCATATTTCATTAATCAAGATGTAAAATAGAATTAAAAATATTTTACATTCAAATCTTGGCTTTGTATGTTTTTGGACGGAAAATACCTGGGGTAGCAATTATCAGTGATTTCTGTTTCTATTTCTCAAACCATTAAATCATGCAATGTTTAAAAATGGAATTGTAAATGCATTTAGGCCCAGAAAGAGTCACTATTCCTGGTGTACGAGAACACATTTTGACATTTTCCCTATCACATTCTTTTATCTTGAAAATTCTGCATTAAAAACCTCATAAAAGATTTCTCACTTAGAGGAATATAAAATAGTTTCAGTTTCACCATACATTGTCATTTACAGGAGACTCTGCAATGACTTATTGGCAATAACTGGCAATACTGAGTAATTCAGGAATTGTAAACTAGGCCAAAGAACAAGCACCTACCTAAGGATCAAGAGCTCTCAGGTTCAACTTCAAGCCACAGGTTCCTTCTCTAGACCTGAATGTACTCTGCCGTTTCAGAAGGGACACTATTCAGTCAGGATCCCTGAGGAGTAGATGACACTCAAATTAGGATTGAGGAGGGTGTCATTCAAGGTGGTGTTTTGTTTTAAACAATGGCAGGACAGGGATGTATGGAAACCACAGGTACAGCCAAGTCTGGTAAAAGCCAGGCTGCCACTTCTCTTCTCACCCTTTGGGGACGAGAAGGAAGCAGTTGCTAGAACGCGGAGATGGAGAAGGCTCAGTGGGCAAAGGGACCACCTCCAGAGCAGTGGAGGCCAGCCTGAGGCAGCCTGAAGGGACCTCGGGGCGGACACCCACCTCCTCTCTCCCACCCCAATCTGCCCTCCTGGGAGACTGACCACAAGCCGGAAACCAGGAAGCCCGAGGAGGTGGCCCCACATTTGCCCCTGGGCATGGGCAAAGAGAAGGTAGAAGCAGATCAGACACCCTGGCTTTTGAATGTGTCTTTCATGTGTATTCCATAAATACGCATAGATGCAAACTTAATCTTTTTAAAACACAGTATCTAAAAGGCAGAGCCAAATGGTCACTCATAGGTCCCACCATTCACAGTGTTCCAAGGAGACTAACAAAAAAGTTTCTGAATGACAAACATGGGAGGGAAGGGTTTGGAGACTGAGGGGCTTAAGTATAAAATAAAAAATAAGAATAAAGCACTTTACTCCTCAATAGTGAGGAACCTGCCTCTTGGGTTTACATTGTAGGCAACACCTGTAAATGAAACACACAAAAGAACCCATTGATGGGAAAATTAAGGCCAGGTCAAATGAGGAAGAAGCTAAAGGAAAAGGAGGTGTCTTCAGGGGGCAGCCCAAACAGCCATCTCTAGGTAGAAGGTATTCACATCCAACAACATGTAGGTGACTACAGATCACAGGAACCAACAAGGAAACAGACTGTTAGAGCAGTTCAAGATTTTGGTTTTGGAGCCACACTCTGATTTTATCAAAATTCTTATCCATCCAACGTATGTTTTCCTCGATGGTTTCAATTGTTTGTTGGACGCAACGGAGCTGAGAACCATTTTCTTTCAAAGAGCTGAAGAATCCTTTTACCTTGTGAAGAGAGGGGAAAAAATGAGTTTTCAAAATTTTGCTTTATTACATTATACAAGTTCAGGCTCATTAAAAGAAAACTGGAGCCGAAATTTCAGCATTTGTCAAAATTCTATACGGAAGGCAGTGCCAGGTGTCTGGATACGATTATGTACACAAACTTAAGCTGTATGAAATGAGCTCATGCCTCATGATGTCAAGTTTTGTGTGTTTTTTTCCTCTGTAGTTTTTTTTAGTTTGTTCACAGTTGCCAGATTCTAAAAGACTTCACTGTTTACCACTTTATAATTAAGGTTTAATTGAGTGTGTCTGTTTAATGTGTATTCTGTTATAGACACACAGATGCTAACTGAATTTCTTAAAACATGGTATCTGAACAGCAAAATGTGCAGAGTGTCTTCTTTGCCAAGCAAAACAGTTTCAACCACATAAGTGTAGTCTTTCTCCATGGACCTGGCCTCATGTGTTATTATAGAAACGCCGTGGGGAATGAGGTTCTTAGCAAGTTATGGTGGTAATACCCTTAATTTTGCCAAGTTTTTATTATCTTAATCCACAATTCAGGTATTGTTCCCCTAAGATAAAATCCATACCAAGTTCCCCATGGTGTTAATGTGATAAGAAACTCTTGGCTATCTCCATGAAAATATATTTTTGTTGTTTCATCGCTGGGTATGTGAACTCCTTTCAGCTCACAGGAGGAATAGGCCAGTTTTGCCACACCGTTGATCACTGTGCTACTCTGTTTCAACCTTACAGGGTTCTTAACCTTTCCCCATCAATTTTCACAGCGTTAATCCATCAATTTTTGATTTTGCAGACAAAAAGCAAGTCTAGGCCAAGATGTATTGTTTATTCAGCATGGATTCCAGACAGTAAATTCTTGAAGAAGAAGAAGAAAAGAAAAAAAAATTCCCACCATGCCATAATATCATGAGTTTGAAAATAAGAGGGAGATCAGAATAGGTGTTTAAAAGACCAAATTCCAATTTTAAATGATGTAAGGTTGTTTTAAAATTATCCCAGTGTAACTTTTCAATGAGCTTAGAGGCATGCTCTCCTGCTGCAGCAGCCTAGAAAACACTGCTTCTCTGTCCCAAGTTGCAACTCAACCTTCTTTCCCAGTGAACTCAAGATTAGTTGATATTCAGCTAAAAAAAATCACTCAATACTCCTCAACAGTCACACCTCATCGACAGTCTTACCCTTTGGCCAAACTGCCTAAACCTGATAATACCACTAAAGAACAACTATAAGATTGGCAACAAAACTGGTTTTAACACTTGCTCTTACATTTTTTTTTTCGGACGCCCCAAGTCTCTCTCCTATCTGATCTGATTTGGGAAACGCAGCATGTCATCTGAGTATTTGATTCAAACCTGCCTCCTTGAGAACATTTTCTGCCTTCGTTACTGTGCTAGAACTGAGGATGTGGCCGTGAATCGAGCAAGCACCCTAAGCTCAGGGAGCTCATAGGTTTCTTAGAAGACAGGCAGTAAACTCTGATGGCTATAAACTGTGAAATAAACTAGGGCTATGACAGTAACTGTGGAGGGGGTGGCCTGCTACACAGAGTGGTCTGGAAAGGTGACCCTTGAGCTGGAATCTCTAAAGGATAAAATGAGCCTTTCCAGTGAAGAGTTGGGGAAAGAGCAAGCTAGGCAGAGAAGAAAGTGCAGAGCCTTTGAGATCAGAGAAATAGCTGGTGGCCAGGAGTAGGGGAAGGCTGAGAGAGAATGAACAAGGAGAGCAAGAGAGAACTGGCTGGAGTGGTAGACAGGAACCCGGCCATCTCAGTGTGGGCACAAAGGAAAGAGGGGTTTGGGATTTATTGAAAGAACAGTAAATAGGTGGGGTTACAAGAAGAGGGTCAATTCAGTTTTAAATGTGGAAAGTGGTTTGGTTAATGGCGAGTGGCAGGAGGGAGGCCAGTTAGGAGGCGATCAGTAACTGTGGAGGGGGTGGCCTGCTACACAGAGTGGTCTGAAAAGGTAACCCTTGAGCTGGAATCTCTAAAGGATAAAATGAGCCTTTCCAGTGAGGAGTTGGGCAAAGAGCAAGCCAGGCAGAGAAGAAAGTGCAGAGCTTTGTCAGGATAGGAAGGAAAAGATAGAGAATGCCTGAGATGGGGAGTGTGGCTGTGTTTTATAGGATGATTCGGAGATGTTTCAGTGGACATTAAAAGAAATGCAAGTATCTAGGAGGGGCGAGGTTGTGTCCATAGAAAACATCAGGTGCACAAACAGGCCATGGAAATGAAGGTAGTAGGATGTTCTCTATTATGACAGTATCTCAGGCTTCTTTATTTCCATGGCCTATCTCAGTTTGTGCACCTGATGTTTTCTATGGACACAACCTCGCCCCTCCTAGATACCTGCATTTCTTTTAATGTCCACTGAAACATCTCCGAATCATCCTATAAAACACAGCCACACATCCGCATAGTTGCGAAGGATCCTCTTCTGATCCTTTGTCTTCAACCTGACAAAGGTGGTCTAATTGTCTCATTCCCCCGGTAGAATTTAAACTCCATGAGAGCAAGGGCTTTGTCTATTCTGTTCATCTTCATTCCCTAGAAACCCAAACCAAGCCTGCCATATGGTAAGAGTAGGACGTCTTGAATGAATTCATAAGAAAACAAATGAACAAGTGAGTGAATAGGATATTTTGTTGCCACAGATCTGGTCTATGAACAGCCTTCTAGCTAGTTCCAGCCTGTGGACAGCTCTCAGGTCATCACACAGATGACCTCCACTGTAGACCTCAGTGGAGATCAAGCTTGAGATGTTATGTGCAAGTTAATTTTACAAACCCGGGACGTGACATTTCTTTTGCATATTCTTCCTATATTCAGCTGGATCGTGGTGTAACCAGACTACATATGAAACTATTCCTTAAAAAATTAATATTTGGCACTCAGATATTATCTAAACGCAGCCTAGTTTTGAAACCAGATAAAGTCTCAGAACAACAAATCAGTTCTCCACAAGAGCACGGCTCGAAGAGGTAAATTATCCTCTGCGTAAATTCTTCAGACAGTTACCTCTCCCTGTCCATTATGCAGCTTTTTGTTCTTTAACATTTATGTTATACCTGGACCTTATAAATTGCCTAAAATTCTTTCTGAAAAGTATAGTCTAGGTTTGAGGTTTTGTACCTTACCACATTCCATAACCACATCCTCTGCAATGCAGATATGACCCTCATTTAGCAAATGAGACAGTCCCAGAGAAGTGAAATTATTTGCTCAAGGTCCAACAAGGTAGGATAAACCTGTTTTTCAATCCTGGTATCATGCTGCTTGTTGCACAGAAAATGTTCTCAAGGAGGCAGGTTTGAATCAAATACTCAGATGACATGCTGCGTTTCCCAAATCAGATCAGATAGGAGAGAGACTTGGGACGTCCGAGGGGAAAAAAAATAAATAAAAATAAATAAATAAATATATATATATATATATATATATATATATATATATATATATATGATGCATATGCCACAGACAGGGTGGACAGGACTCGGGGATGGATTAGATGTGAGGAAAAGAAGGGCTCAGAAGGACTCCTTTGTATTCTAAGAAAAGCATTATCATAGAAGGGACATCAGAAACAACCCATTGATCCGATTCCTCAGGGTTAAAGACTCAGAAAAAAAGTACACTTTTGTAGTTCCCTCTTACTGGACAATGGGATAACTCATATTGCTTTGTCATCTTTCCTTGACTGCTAGGAAGCTGTGATAAAGTTAGGGTTCGAGAGCAATAAATTATCCTCTGCATAAATTCTTCAGACAGTTACCTCTCTCTGTCCATTATGCAGCTTTTTGTTTTTTAACATTTATTTTATACCTGGACCTTATAAGTTGCCTAAAATTCTTTCTGAAAAGTAAATGGCATATAAATAAGTAGCAGGAAGTCATGAACCTGGAAATGGAACCTGGATTTCAGACTTGCCTCTTTCATAACTGCTGGATGATCCCTTCAGTCATTCATATTCCCATGATCACTTTTATCATCCCAAACAGGGATTCCGTATTCGAAGTATCCTTTAAGCTCTAACCTTCATAATGGCCAAGATTAGGACTTCTTCATGTGTTTGGGAAGAGGCACAGTTTTCACTAATTCATTTATAGCTGATTTTTGCTTATGTTAACAACACTACAGCACCCAAAAGGAACATCTAGATAAATAAATTCCAACAGAAATGGTGGTACTGAGCGACAAGATTCGTTGCTAACTCGTCACACCCTTAAATATTTTGTCTACCCCATACTTATTAGCTAGTTGTCACTTAAGCTTAAAATATATATATAAATTTTTTTATTTTTTTATTTATTTATTTTTTTTTTTTTTTTTTTTTTTACCTCTTCAAGCCGTGCTCTTGTAGAGAACTGATTTGTTGTTCCCATCACCATGTAGGCTATGGAAGAAGAGCCAAGGTCAAACCTAGAAATGGAAACTGTCATGTTACATTGTGAAATATTCATTCTCTCAACATATATTTCTACGTGCCCCTTTTATTATAGCACTTAAGTAAAAACTGGTTAGGCATGGAAAACATGGACATGATCCCTGCCCTCCAATGGATTAAGATCTAGTTGCAAAATCTAGGTGAATAAAAGATGAAGTACCCAGAAGAAAATGATAGAGGTAATGATGCTACACAAGTTAGACAAGGACAGATGCAAATCAGCAAAGTTGCTGAGCAGGAGACTTCTAATAAGTCAGTGGGTGCGGGGAGGGAGTATTCCAGGTGGAACAGAAAACCTAGTCAGGTTTTCCAGATTCATGGGCTAGCAATGAAGTAAGAGTTTTATATTGTCTAAGGATATTATAAGGACCTCTACTTTCTAGCTTCAGTCAAAAACCCCCTATGGATGATCACTATTGTTTTACAAACTAATTTTTTTAAGAAAAATAGCCATGTTGAGGAACTTCCCTAGGCACAGCACAATCTTTGGCACTACTTACTTTTGTATAAGTTTATTCCAATTGTCCTTCAGAAACTGCCAGGCCAGTGGATATCCCACTGGGTTTCTGCCAACAGAGCGAAGAATAGCTGGAAACTCTTGAGTTTTTATTACATCTCCCTTAAAACTTTGGTCTAGTAACCTAGAATGATTAAGAGAAAAAATGCTAGCAATGAATATGCCCTGGAAAAGTTATGAGAAAGTTATTCCATAAAATAATTTAAAGCCAGCCTGTCAATAACAGAGAAAAGATGGTTAACCAGAGCCCTGGTAAACTTGCTATAGCTATTCTATCTAATGAAAGAGTAAAATGCAAATTAACCATCACTCCACTAAACCCACCAGCCACGCCCACAAGCTAATCAGTGATAGTATGCAAATTAACCCAAACCAAGATGGCTGCAACCACAGAGAGCAGAAGGGAGGCTTGGGTTTCCCTGGCAATGGAGGAAGCCAAGCTTTCCGTACACCCTGGACGGCCAAGGCTTCCACTCAAGGGTACAAAGTTTCAATTATAGAAGATAAATAAATTCCAACAGAAATGGTGGTAGCCACTGAGCTGGAAGAGCAGGAGGCTACGGTTGCCCCGGACAATGGAGGAAACCAAGCTTCTGCAGCCCTGGCCAGCTCAGGCCTTCACTCTAGGCTACAAAGTTTCAATTATAGAAAATACATAAATTCCAACAAAAATGGCTGCTGCCACGAAGCAAGCATGAGGCGTGGCTCTGCTCCAGGCTACAAAGTTTCAATTGTAGAAAATAAATAAATTCCAGATATCAGGGATTCCCCTTGGGTCGCCGGGAGCATGGCTGGCCTTTTTCACAACAGGCCCCTCGCCCAGGCCACTCCTCACCCCAAGGGGCTCCCAACCTGAGCAGGGACACCCTTCAGGGCAAACCAGCTGGTTCCCACCTGTGTACCAGGCCTCTCTCCTATCTAATAAAAGAATAATATGCTGATTGACCATCACTCCAACACACAAGATGGCTGCCCCCATGTGGACACAAGATGGCCACCACAAGATGGCCAGTTGGGAGGGACCGGCCTGCAAGGGAGGGCAGTTGTGGGTGATCAGGCAATCAGGGAGGGCAGTTGGGAGGCATCAGGCCTGCAAGGGAAGGAAGTTAAGTGGGACCAGACCTGCAAGGGAGGGCAGTTGGGAGTGAAAAACCCTGAAGAGGAGGGCAGTTAGGGGTGACCAGGCCAGCAGAGGAGTTAAGTTAGGGGTAAACAGACTGGCAGGGGAGCAGTTAGACATCAATCAAGCTGGCAGGGGAGTGGTTACTGGGTGATCAGACTGGCAGGCAGAAGTGGTTAGGGACAATCAGGAAGGCAGGCAGATGAGCAATTGGGAGCCAGCAGTCCTGGATTGTGAGAGGGATTTCTGACTGCCCATTTAGGCCCATTCCCAGATTAGAAAGGGCGCAGGCTGGGCTGAAGGACATCCCCCCCATGCACAAATTTCGTGCACCAGGCCTCTAGTATAACAATAAAACTAACACACAGTATTCACAATACACATTCTCACATATGCTCTCATTTTCTCATAAAAGGAGCTAAGAAATTATATGTTTTTAAATTTGTTATTTTAAAGATACACAAATATATGCTTCTTTAAATATTTTTCATGACACCTGCTTCTCCCGAATTATTTATCACTAGAGGCCCAGTGCATGAATTTGTGCATGGGCTGGGTCCCTAGGCCTGGCCCTCTATAAGGGCCAATCAGGGCCTGCTGGCTGGGGAGGAGGGACAAGGAGAGGGAGCATGGGCCAATCGGGGCCTGCCAGCCAGGGGTGAAGAACAGGGCACAGGAGGTTGGCCGGTGCAGGAGGTTCACTGCCAGCCCCACGTAGGGAGCTAGCTCTCAGCTCACTGGGAAAGGGGCCTTGACTAAAATCACATCCCCCCTCCCCAGTTCCTCATCCTAGCCCGGGGCCCAAAAGCCTCAGAGGGGTTGGAAAAGGAGGTGATGGTCACCGGGCCAGGTGCAGAAGAAACGGATGCCAGTGACCTACTACTGCATGGTTCCCAACCTCCCCCACTCCTCCTTCCCTCACTGCTGCACCACCGCTGTTGGTGGGTGGGCAGCAGGCCAATTGGGCCCTACCAGCTGGGGGGTGGGGCAAAGAGTGGGTGGAGAGGTTGACTGCCAGCCCCAAGGAGGGAGACAACCCTTGGCCCTCCTGAGAAAGGGGCTGTATCCACCACCACCCATCCCCACTTTCCCATCTCAGCCCAGGGCCTAAGACCCTGACGCAGTGAGGAGAGGAGGCGACAGTCACTGAGCTGGGCATGAAAAGAACAAATGCCAGACACTGATGCTGCCAGCCGGCTGTGGGAGGTTGGCTGTGGAAGTGCACTGACCATCAGGGGGCAGCTCCTGCATTAAGCGTCTGCACCCTGGTGGTCAGTGCACTTCATTGCAACTGGTCAACCAGTTGTCCCACTCAGTTGGTCCTAACGGTCACTTAGGCATATATATATATATATATATATATATATATATATATATATATATATATATGTGTGTGTGTGTGTGTGTGTGTGTGTGTGTGTGTGTGTGTGTGTGTGTATGAATATATATATATATATATATATATATATATATATATATATATGATACTCATTAGCTGTCTCCCCACTAATATAAATATTTCCAGCAGAACAGGCAATTCCTGCTCAAAAGAACAAAAATAGATGCGAGAAGGATCTGATCTAAATTCCTTTGTTCATACATGAACATGAATGAATTACTCACCACTGGAGCTTTTCCTTGTCTTGGCTAATACAGAGGGCAAATTCAATTTGGTTTTTCTCGGTACTGGACAGAGAAGACTGATATTTACGATAGAGAAAATCCCATCCTTCAGTGGTCTGGGCCCCCACAGCAAACACTGCCATCGTCACATCATTGGGCAGCCTGTGGGAAAGAGCACGTGGGCGAGAGTCAGAGTTGTAGGAACTGTGTGGGGAAGCAAAATGGTGACCAGTTTTGAACTGATAAATGATCTCATGATCAGAGATGCAAGCCTGGAAACCTAAACAAAAATAACCTTTCCTTCAATTAAATTTTTTGAAAGAGGCAAAGAGAAAATATCTAAAACTCAGTTGTAAGACTTCTCGAAAATGTGAACATGAAATGCCACTTTTACAAACACCTATGTGTCTAGCACACTTCAATGACACTGGGTGACTCCCAATAGATGGTCACTCTTCAAGCCAAAAGCAAGTGTTTCAAATTAGACTCAAGATGTAATCCATGAACAAACATTAGGAATCCAATGGGACCACCACTTAGAAGCATGTATTTCAATGGAAGCATGTTTACTATGGGCTTAATGTTTCCCAGATGGGATTTAAGACCCAGATATACCTAAGTATAGTGAGAATTAATTTTCAAAATAGAGGAAGAACTGTACTTAGGCAGCATCAGCAACTACTATGCGCCTCCTGTCAGGGACTTTGGAGACCCAAAGAAACTACTGTGAGGCATCGCCTCTTTTTCTGGCAGTGCGGCTGTCTCCGTTCTGGTAGATTTTGTACCCTTGGCCGCATAAAGTGGAAACTATTTTGATCCCCTTCTAACTCTCCGTATATTTGACTTTTGTGCATGGAAGTTCCCTCCTAGCATTACTGCAAGTTGAGAGATACACAGATAAATCTTAAAAAGTAATTTATTTTCCTAAAAAGGGAGGCCAGGGAGACTTTTTTGTAGTTGGTTTTGCTCCCAACTTTGTAGCAGCGATGATAGAAAATAGAAAAGGCACCCCTTTTTATGAACAAACTAGCTGTTTGCTAAGGACAGACCTCAAATCTCCATCAGATTCCTTCCATGCTCTGAAGTAGCCTTCTGCCCTCTGCACGCAGGGCTGATACTTGCGCACACAGGCGAGGAGCAGGAGCTGGCTCCGCAGCATTCGCTCTGAGACAGAGCCCTCGTCAGTCCATGTCTGCTTGTCAATGAGGCCCCTCAGCAGCCTGATGAGAAAGCCCTGAGGGAAAGCCACAGTGTCAGCAGTATAGTCCCAGGTTCCCGCATGTTTTATGTAATCCAGTACACTCAGGTGAAGGGGATATTTTACAAAGTGTCATAACAACCCTTATTTCTAAAACCATGCAGTTCTGTTTATATAATAAAAGGCGAAATGCAAATTGTCCCCTCAACTGGGAGTTCAACCAGGGGGCGGGGCCAGATGGCCAACGGCCGTGTCTCCTCCCAGTCTGGTCGGACCACACCCATGCACGAATTCGTGCACCAGTTTCATTATAAAAGTTGTCAGACACAAGAAATAATGAACTATTATCTTTCATAAATATGTTTATGTACTTAAAATCAAAATGAACTGCCACTTAAAAAAAATAAACTAAGAGAGTTTATATGACTACATTTTGAAGGCAAATTTTACAATGGAACTTCATGACCTTTTGCCAAAAAGTAACTTTGTACTTCTTCAAGTACCTGAGTCCCAGAAAATCTTAATAGCAACCATCATAATACAGAAGTAAAATAAATTAAAGGGTTTGCAAAAGGAAGGAATAAGAAATCCATGAAAATTAAGTACAGAGTCTCATAGTCCCATGTCTACTTTCAATGCTAAAATAAAACAAATATCTTTGCTAGTCAATCCAAATACTAAGTTAATTTTTATTTACTTTTCTTTTATATATATTGATATATATATAAACATATGTACATATATATTTACACACACACACACACACACACACACACACATATGACAGTAAGAATTCTTGCACAACCATATAAAAGCAAATCACTTAAGTAACCACTCAGTTTATTTGAGGCTTTTACCTTGAATTGAATTTCCACTTCATTCATATCTCTTTTCTCCATTAACTTATACATAGGTATCAGCTCATTCAAACCTTGGAACACAGGCATAATTTCTGTTTCATGTTTCAAATATAGGGTTAAATCCAAGGCTTTTTCGATCGGTAGCTTTCCAATACTGGTCAGGAGACACCATGGTGAGAGGTTTAAAAGAAAACTTAGAAAATCAACTTTTTGTTTCAAAAAATATTTTAACAATCTACCAGCAAAAAATTCAACCAGTTGTTAATGCCCCTCATAAATAAGGATCTTTCTGTTAGTATCTTTTCTATCATAAATAACACAACATTAGCATGTTTGCACGGTGAAGGGAGTTGCTCAAACACAATAGAGCTAGTGTTAACGAGGTTAGGACACAAAGCAGGGCAGGGTCTGCTCCTCTACGCAACGTTGGACTGTGGCTGATCTTTGGTCGGGATTTTGATCACAGATCCTTCAGGAAGCCTAATCGGAGAGACTGCCACTCAGCTGACATGGTAAGTCTCTGGGGTCAGCACATCCTCTTCTCCATTCCAACAGAACTGAATATGGATAAAAACCCTACGTTATAGAGGGTTGATGCTAAAAGCCTCAGAGGTAAGGTATATGCTCATAAACACAACATCCTCTAAGACTTAAGATTTAAGCAGCAGTATGCTACAGAGGGGAATATTTGTAGGCATGCGAAGACAGCCGGCTAACATCTCCTATATTTATCCCCCTTTGCTACTTTTCACCTCAAGAGGCCCCAATGAGAAAGAACTTGACATTTAGAGCAGAAGACATGGGGTGTGAGGAAAATTATAAATTATTCCTTTCTACCTGAGGACTTCTGTACAGCCTAAATACTGAGGAAGTATAAGTTTTTGTCTTGCAGACTATTTCCTTAATAACCATTGTCATGGGGCAAAAACTCTAAACACTCAACAGCTCAAAGTTCATTCGTTTGGGCTACATTTTATGAGCTGTATTCCATTAAGAGGCTGTGAAGTTCAGGAATACGAGTGTGGGCAGGGGTGGGTGGAAACCCCTTTAACCTAGCAGGGGGAGGAACCAGATCTATAAAGCAGAGCCAGGGTCAGAGAAAGCCACAGGTCAACTCTTTAGAAACCAGCCAAGGAGCTTCTCCAGGGAGTATCTCCTAATTTTCTACACTTTTGCCTCTATGTGATCATAGTTGTTAATGAAAAAGGTTAAAATACAGGTGCTTCCTTTACCTGACTCAGCAGACACAGACAGGAGGTTAACCATACGGCTACAAGCAACCTTGGATTGTTAGAAGAACTTAGGGAAAAAAACACCCTTCAACTTCCTATTAGCAATCAATCATTTTCATCTTTAGAAATCAAGAATTTGAGTGATAACAGCTGCTTTCAGAAATAAGCCAAGACTCTGAAGAGCATATGTTACCTGACAAGCTGAAATGCATTGTTAATGAGACTGGCCCGATCATTACTGCTGATTGCTGTGTGGGTTCCTTGTAAAAGGCCCGTCAAAGAATCCCATCCATCATCCTCATAATGCACAATGTAATAGCCATTCATTCCCACGTTAAATTTGATCCATTCCACCTCTTCTGGGAGGATGAGCACATCTAGAGCAAATAAAATAAATCATAGCTCTATGTTCTCTCTTGACGGATGAAAGCTTTTCTGATCAGAGACTAGACCACGAAACTACAGGCAAGTTTAGTACTGAAAATGAGTTTTATCTTCCCCAGATAAAAAGATTGAAGAAAGGACCTCTCTTCCACTATTTTGAATACTTAATAGCTAATTTCATAACATCACATGTACCATTTTAAGGAAGTGATGATTTAGTGGGAAATTAGTGCTTTGCATTTGTATACTGTAAATATAAATGACGATTTGTTCGAAATGTGTAACTTTGATATGCAAAAGATAATAACTCACAATGTTAATATTAAATATTCCTTCAAAATAAGAAAAAAATAAAAATAAAAATAAAATTAAAAAAAGAAAAGAAACACTTTAAAAAAAGAAAATGAGTTTTATATTGAACAAGTTTCTTTTAGAAACCAAAAACAGCATCCCATCGACAAAAGCCAACACTAGTTTTAGGCATCAATTTCATGAGATTTATAGATCTATGAGAAGAATGCAGCCACGTTTCAGGCCATACATACGATATAACCCAGCAATGTTAACAAAGTAATGGGGATTTTTCATTCATAATCCCTTCTCTTTATCATTACATAAATCAACTGTTTTAATCTCTATCTGGCAAGATACTGGCTTTTTTTTTTTTCCAACCAGATAGGATTTTCAACCTATAGTCTTTACTAGAAAATGAAAGCTAGAGAGTTGCTGAAGATAAAGGTGGACCAGGTTCTTTTTGTTTTAACCAAGATAAATAGCCAAAGAAAGGCGGTATCTAAATCCTGCACATTTCTATAGTTCCTTCTTGCATTAACCTAGTTACTCCCCCCAACAAATTACCTGTTTTTGTCTTCAGCAAAAATTTCTGGGTCGATTCTGATTTGCTGGTGATGAATGTCAAAGGAACATGCCACAGGAACCTAAAAGAAAGGAGGATGAATTGCTCATTTGTTGATTCAACTTAACAAGTAGTTGTTAAATCACCTATCACGTGCCAGACACTGGCTAGTTTAAGAAAGAATGGTACCAAAGCTGCTACAGACAAGAGATCAAAACACCCCTCTTTCCTGTTTTCCAGGCACTATTCATCCTTCTCAGGCTCCTTAAGTAAAGTTAGGAATTTGGGCTCAAGCGAGCCCTAACAGCCTTTACAGTGATTGGCTGGGAGCTCAAGAGCTGAACTTAAGAACCATGACCTCTAGTAATGGCACAAATTGACATCATGTGCCTCCTAAATCATACACTAAGAACACATCGCTTCTATGGAATTCCTATTAATGATGCATAAGCTGAATCTGATCATGAAGAAACAGCAGAAAATCAAGCTGGAGGACATTCCATAACATAACTGTTCTGTACTCTTAAAGAATGGCAAGGTCAAAAAAGACAAAGACTGAGGAGCAATTTCATAGAAAAAGGACTAAAGAAATGTGACAATTAACATAATGTGACCCTAATACTGAATCCTGCCTGAATGAGAATATTTTTTTCTTTTGCTACAAAGACATTATTAGGGCAGTTGGAAAAACTTAAGGTTTATATTAGATAATAGCATTTCATCAAATTTATTTCATAATTTTGATAACTGTATTATAGTTATATACATAAATGTTCTTGTCTTTTAAAAAATACCACACTAAAGGATTTTGAGGTAAAGGATTATCATGTCTCCAAATTACTCTCAAACAGGGGAAAACCATATATATAAAATCACACACATATATGGCATATATGGAGAGAGAGATAAATATAGAAAAAGCATCTTTACTTAGAGAAATGTGGTAAGAAGTTAACATATATCGGGGTTAAAAATATATGAGAATTCTTTGCACTTTTCTTACAACTTCTCTATTAAGTGTAAAATTACTTTGAAACAAAAACATTTTTAAAATAGTGTCCATCTAGAGCCAGTCAAGCTGCAATGTGTCATTTCCAGTGATGTCCTTCTGTCCTATCAATCTGGCAAACAAGTTCCAGGATCCAACTCAGATTTCCCAAAGAAAAGAATTGAGTCTCTCCCTAATTCCCAGAAATTGTAATTTCCAGGCACTGTTGTAATTTAGTGACAGTTACTTAGATTAGAGCTTATTACAAGCCAATAACTGGACATCTGCATCCCATCAAAGTACAAAAAATGATAATTATACATCCTCAGCTTCACCGAGATGAACCAAGGTTTACAGCCACCTTCATTCTCCTGGGGAGATGGTGGTGTATAAGTCAACTTCATAGGACATGCAGATTTGATTGAAACATTTTAGCAATAAAGGTAAGGGCACTATTTCAAAAATAAGGTTTTATCCTGCAAGGCAGATGTTACCGAAGCAACCAAATGAGTTTTCAGGGCCACTTACCCAGATTCGGGGCTGCCCTCAGAGCCTTTCATGTAGTGCTCCTGCTTCAGGTGGACGTTCCTCCCTCTCATGGTGACGGTGATCAGGGGAAAGCCCTTCTGCAGCGTCCAAGTGTTCATCATGGTTTTCACATCAAGGCCTTCCTGTTGCCAGTGCTGGTTTATACAGAAACACACAGATGCGTGACCCACTTAGACCCAACTAAGAAAAGGCAGAGCCGAGCTTTTGCTCACAGACGGAGCTGCTGTCAGGGGCCACCTCCCCTGTGAAGCTCCTTCTCATTCTTCCTTTGCTCCCAGCCCCTGCCCTGCTCCCATCCCCGCTGTCTCCAACCACAGCACGTGGTCCATGAAAGCACTGACAGTTACTTCTCGTTCTCTTTCTGTAAACATGTGTGTCTTGAGAACCGGTACCATATCTGGTTCTACTGGGCATACCTTGGGCGTGGCACTGGGCACAAAGTAGGCAAGTGCATGCATGAATGAATGGAAGTAGAGAAGGGAAAGTGGCCAAAGCCCAAAGCGGTAACACCCAGATGGCCCACACTCCACAGCAGTCATGAGCTCACAAGAGGATATTTTCTTTGATACTAAGAAAAGCTTTTAAGAAATATTTAAAAGTTAGTAAAAGGATAAAATAGGCTATAGAACTAATCTACAAACTTCTGAAGAAAGCTGCCTCTAAAAACAAACAAGCCAAGATCATAAAAATATGATGGATGGAATTCTGTTAAAAATCTCCAGACTAACACATAGCTGCCTAGGAAAATAGTCCATAAGTCCAGATAAGCAGAGATGTAGACTGTTCTGTGATTCAGATTTCTTTTTTTTTTTTAATTCTTTATAGCATATTGGTTAAAAACACAAGTTGGAACTAAATTCACATCCCAGCTCTGTAATTTACTAACCACATGCCTTTGGATGTCATATTCACATCTGTAAAAATAGGGATAATGGTGCCCCACTCACGGGCTGACTATGAAGAGGAAAGGCGATAATGCACATAAGTGCGTAGCACGTGCCTGATGCAGAGTAAGTGCTCAGGAATGCTCGCTGCCATCATCTGTTTCCTTCCAGATGAAGAGCTCTGGAAATGATCGACACAGCCTGACTGATAAAGCCCTAACTCTCACAGAAACCTGTCAGAAATCCACTGCCTTACCGAGAGTGAAGCTGAAGAAATTAGTATTGGTGAGATGCGTTACCAAAGGAGGCTGTGCGACTCCCTGGTGTAGATAACGTTTTAAAAATGGTAAAAGGCTGTCAGTCTGGTATGGTTTAAACACAGTCTTATCAAGAGTGAGGGTGATAGAATCTAGGGCCTCAGAGAGTCTGGCACAGAGCCGACCTTCAAAGGCTGTGGTGGGAAAGAATGCGAGGAGGGGCACCGTGAACAGATGTAAAAACTTACTGAGGATGAAGATGAAGGTTGACCCCGAGAGCAAAAGCCCTCCATCCTTTGTGAGCCGTCTGTAGGGCAAATCTAAAAACCGAAAATATACACGTCACTCTCAGGCAGGCCTGTAGAAAACCTTCATGATTCTTCTCAGAGAGATTAATATGATTGAAAAACAAAACAAAACAAAACCATAACAACAACAAAAACACCCAAAATGATAATAAACCTGTCAATCCCAAATGCAGAGATACACAGAAACATACTCACGCTTGCCATACTGTTCCACAGGTCCTCGTTTTTTGTGTTTTTATAACTATACGTCTGGAGATAATGTACAATACCACGTTTAAATGTATCAGCACTAATATAATCTCTTAGCATATTCAGAATACAAGATCCCTGAAAAACACACACACAAACAAACACAGTATAAATAAATGTTAACTATACTTCCTCAATCTAATCCACCATCACACTTTATTTTGGAATAATTTTTTTAAAAGTCTCCCTTTCTGGAAGAATTTCCTAGGTCCCTTTAAGGTAGAGGTAGTCTCCCTCTCCCTTTGGCTCTAGGGAAAGTTGGAGGTCACAAAATAGGCAAAGCCTGGATCCCTGAATATCTACATGAAGTGTATATCCCTGCCTACAGGACTGGTACTTATTTTCTTGATATACTCTAGGCCCAGTGCATGAAATTTGTGCACAGGTAAGGTCCCTAGGCCTGGCTGGCAATCAGGGCTGGTTGGGGCCTTTCTTCCCCAAGCTGCCAGCTGTCGGACGGATACTGGCTGGGACCTTCCTTAATTCTGTGCCACCCCCTGGTGGTCAGCGCACATCATAGCGCACAGTCAAACTCCTAGTCAGTTGAACTCCCAAGGGGACAATTTGCATATTAGGCTTTTATTATTTGAATATATACATAAAAGCCTAAGCGATCATTAAGACTGGTCGGCAGGTCACTACAATGTGCAGACCACCAGGGAACACTCAATGCAGAAGCTGCCCCCTGGTGGTCAGTGCACTCCCCCAGCCAACCTCCCGCAGCCAGCCAACATTCTGAGGTTCTGATCAGACCCGACTGGGACTGGGAAAGACAGCCCTGATCAGCCCCGATCACCGGCCAGGCCGAGGGACCCCGCCTGTGTACAAATTCATACATCAGGCCTATAGTATAGGATGTGTGTGTGTATGTATGGTTGCGCGCGCTACACACCCTTTATCCACTCACCCATCAATGGACATTTAGGTTGTTTCCTTATCTTGCAGTGAACATGACCGTGCATATATCTTTAGGTTAGTGTTTTCATTTTCTTTGGATAAATACACAGAAGTAAAATTACTGGATCATATGGTAGTTCTATTTTAATTTTCTGAGGAATCTCTACAGTGTTTCCCATACTGGCTGTACCAATGTACATTCCCAACAGTATACAAGGGTTCCCTTTCCTCCAAATCCTTGCCAACATTTTTATTTATCTTTTTCATGGTAGCCATTCTAACAGGTGTGCAGTGATATTTCATTGTGGTTTTGATTTGTATTTCCCTGATGATTAGTGAAGTTCGGAACCTTTTCGTGTACCTGTTGGCCATCTGTATGTCTTCTTTGTAAAATTTCTATTCAGTTCCTCTGCTCATTAAAAAAAAATTGTATTGTTGGAAGTATTACAAATGTCCCATTTTCCCCCCATTGACCCTTTCTAGCCTGCACCCACTTCGCCACCCCCAGCCTTCACCACACTATTGTCTGCCCTTTTTAAAATCAGATTGGTTTTGTTCCTGAGTTGTGTAAGTCTTTCATATATTTTGTATTCTAACCCCTTATTAGATATGTGATTTTCAAATATTTTTCCCATTCTATATGTGGCCTTTTCATTTTGTTTCTTCTGCTGTGCAGAAGCTTTTTAGTTTATTGTAGTCCCACTTATTTGTTTTTGCTTTTGTTGCTTGTACTTTTGGTGTCGAGTTCAAAAAGAACATTGCCATGACCCATGTCAAGGAGCTCTCCCCTATGTTTTCTTTCAAGATTTTTACATCTAAAGTCTTACATTTAAGTCTTTAATCCATTCTGTGTTAATTTTTGTGAATGACATAAGATATGGATCCAGTTTTCCTAACACCATTTATTAAAGAGACTGTCCTTTTCCAATGGTATATTCTTGGCTCCTTTACCATAAATTGACCACTTAAGTGTACTTTATTTCTGGACTTTCTATTCAGTTCTATTGATCTATGTGTTTATTTATACCTGTTTTTGTGTTGTTTTTATCTCCCCTGCATTATTACAAAAACATCCAAACAAGAAATACTTTTCTGTTTGCAACAAACAGCCAAGCACAATGATAAATGACACATTTTCCACCTCAGTGAGAAGACAAAAGAAATGGTGACACTGGAAAGGAAAATGGAAAAGCAGAAACCTGACCTCATAAAGGAGCCATCACTTAGCTGCAGCCTATGTTGCCAAGGGAAAAAAATACAGGCCCCATGTGACCAGAAGCCTCCCCTGCTCCCCCAAGAGAAGCCATAAATCTGGAGTTTTATGTAAAATCTCCCAATTATTGAATGTTGGAAACTATTTCCAATTCTGTTATTAAACATGTTGTGTAGGACAATACTTTGCAGTTCAACAATGTACACCATTCCTAAAGGCATCGAATGTTAGGCTACACAAGGGCAAGAATTTTTGCCTGGAACAAAGACAATGCTTAATTGAGACCTATTTGTTGAATCTATATATATAAAAGCCTAAGCGACTATTTGACCATTCAACTGATAGCTATGACATGCTCTGACCACCAGGGGGCAGAAGCTCCGACCGATAGGTTAGCTTACTGCTGGGGTCCGGCCAACGGGGCCTGAACAAGATGAGCTGGACACACCCTGGAACCCTCCTGCGGACCCTCCCCACCCCTGATCATGCACCAATGGGGTCCCTTGGTCTGACCTGTACCCTCACGCAATCTGGGACCCCTTGGGGAATGTCAGAGAGCTGGTTTCAGCCTGATCCCCACAAGCCAGGCCAAGGGACCCCACCAGTACACGAATCCATGCACTGGGCCTCTAGCAATAAATAAAAGGAAGAGTTTTGTTAAGCCATGAATTTTCAACTTACAACAGAGTAAATAAAGTATTTACCAAAAAAGTAACCTTTAGGATTATCAGACAAATTGCAAGTTAGACTTAAACGGGTGAACTCCAGCCAGCTCAGTTCAGAACAGAAGGCAGTCAATCCGGATTGCTCCTTATAAAGGGACAGTCACCCCACAACCCTAGCTATAACCTCTCCACCCCAGTATTTATAAATTTTACTATCCAAACTGTCTAAGTCCATTATAGTCCATTTTTACCTTATCATAAGAAACCTCATCAAACATCTCCCGAATCTGAGCAGGATTCTCCACGGGTGTGGACACAGGATGTGAGGAATTCAATGCGTCTACCTCCATTGCATCAAAACACTTGCCAAGAAAATAATCTTCCTATTGAGACAGAATACAGACACATCAGTTATGATTTACATGTAGATGAAAAGTATAAAGGGAGGATAGCTTGATCTGGGGCAACAGATTTATACTTCAAATTTTTGGTCCAATATAATCTGTATTTCTAGAATTTACAAAATAAAATAGAACTACTATCTTCTAAAGAGCATCTAAGAAACAATGATTTTAGGTAAACATTTTACATTTCCCTCATCTTAAATATTTACTTATCACTTTAGAATAAAGAAAAGTTCATATTAACTTAAAAACAAACCATTATGCCTTTAGTAAAAATAAATAAATAAAAATAAAAATAAAATAAAACAAAACAAGAAACTAAAACGTATAATAATTTCAAAATTTCCAATCAGCCTATATTATTTTAAAGCAAAGAAATTTAGCTTTAAACACATGTAGCAAAAGAAAAATGGAAGAGAACAAATTCCAACTATAACCTGATTATTAAGGCCTATTAACCAATAGAATAATATGCCTACCTAATCATTTTTAAAGATTATGTGGAAATACAAACATTTATGATCTATTATAGTGTAATAATTATAACTATGTATATAGGGAGATGAATATGAACCATTGAAATCATTATAGAAGAATAAATAATTTTTTTACATAAAGTTTAGTTTTTTAAAAATTTTACTGCATGTGATTTTCTCAAGTTAAACATATGTCTTTTAAAATAACATAGAGATTCCAAAGCAATAAATCTGTGACCTATGAATCTAGGTTCACATATAATCAAGTATGCAGTTACCTTAAGCATAATTTATTTGATTTGGCAAGTAGAATTCTACTGAAATAGCAATCTGTAGCTAATACTTCAGTGAGAAAACTGATGGTTGGAGAAATTATACAGAACTGACAGGCTTTCATTATTTCTAGTTCTCTGATATTAGAGGATGACAAAATTTAGTATAATTTTTACCACCATCCTAGGTTCATAATTTGGAAATAAGCATTTGTGATGTATATCTTAAAAGTTCACAAGCATTTTGGGAACATGAATCTATATAAACTCCCAAAGAAGCTATTAACCTATGAATTCTGTCATCAAAGCTCAGTAAATATTTTTCGGAAACACTGAACAAAACAACAGATTAACCTAAAATGTAAAAAAATAATAAGTAAATGCTTCTTACAACTTTCAGTTCTGGATGAGTCACACTGACAGACACAAACTCCATAAACTTGGCAAATCCCTCATTGAGCCATAGATCATTCCACCATTCCATAGTGACCAGGTTCCCAAACCACTGGAAGGAAAACATTCCCCAGATTATTCACACATTTCTATGGAGACTGGCTTATCTACACAGCCATAAACATAAAGCCTTTAGAAGGAAATATATTTTACATCTGTAATGTCCTTTAGATGGATGTTAACATAGTCATAGAACTCATATTTTATCGAAAGAAAAACATCTTAATGTGCATTATAAAACATGGTATCTAATGCTTTAAAGAAATCACTTTTCTTACAGAAAAAAAAGGCAAAGTAGACATTGTCCCTACACAATACGAACAGCCTCCTATGTCCCCTGAAGCAATTTAGACACAGTTTCCACTGTGTAAGAAGTGTGAGTGGGCTTCCGTACCTGGTGGGCGAGCTCATGGGACACGGTCATCGTGATGCCAAGCTTGCTTGATGCAGAAGCCTTTTCCACATCAAACAAGAGAGCAGACTCCCGATATGTGGTCAGTCCCCAGTTTTCCATAGCACCAGACTGAAAGTCAGGAATAGCAGCAAGATCTTGGGGTGAAAGCAATAAAAATATATTTAAAAGCTACACATTTTCCAAACGCCCTACCTTTCAGAATGGGCGGATGTAATAATCAAAAGAAAGGCTAAGCTGCCAGTGTAGACTCATGGAGTTCTAGACTGGAAGCAGCTTTCACAGTGGAGAAAAGGCGCCTGGTGATTCATTCAGAGTCACTGAGCTACCCTGTGACAAAGTCAGATTCGGTACTCCATTTCTAACTCTCTGACAAGGAGTTTAGGATTGAATAATGTTAACAACTGACTCAATAATCCACTCTACTTTGAATTCCCAAGACCTCCATACACCTAAAAACTTCAAACACAAAATAATTTTATGGGGTCTTATAAGAAAATGTAAATTTTCTTCTACTGTGTAAATTCATTCACTCATTCAAAAATTATTTATTTTAGCATCTTATGCAAGTATGTGCCAATAATGGGAAAAGTGTGGCATTTGCATTTTGCTGTCTGCCCACAATGTTGGGTTTCTCTTTGAAGTCCCAAGGCAAAATTATTTCCATGCCATGTACCTCAGGGACTGTATCAAGACCTGCTTTTACTATCACTAGTTTACTGAACAGATCAAGGGTGAGGAGGATCAACCCAATGGTTGACACCTGCCAGGGTTTTAAAGACTTGAGGGACTGGTGCGTTAACCACAGGGAGCTAATTAGGGGGATATAATCGATGGCTGGGTTCAATAAGTGCCACAATGTGTAATATCTGTGCAAATCTCTACCTTGTTTGGGTAAGGGATACGGAATGCTAAAATAATCCTCATAAAATTCCAGAAGAGTCACTGCAGCATCCAGTGCATAGTCTGCCTGATTGATCTTGTCTGGCACGGCATACACGGACACCTGAAGAGAAAGGCATACGGACTTTACTCAAACGCCATCATGGCGGCTCTCCACAACTGCATGTTTACCAGCTTCATATTGAGAACAGGGTTGCCAATATCAAAGAAGGCAACTGGAAGTTCTATTTCTTGTATGAATGCTGACTGTTCCTGATCAACTCCCCTTTTGAAAGCAGCTACAAATGCCAGATAACATATACTAGAATGTCTCTTTAAGTGTTTTCATGCAACAGTGATAAACACAACTGAGAGGCCAGAAGTGAAGTGACAGGAAGAGCCTCAGAAGTCAGAACAATGCTGCCAGCTTTTGCCCTATACACTAGCCGAATACAGAGCTTTTGTTTTCACGGTATTGAAAGACTCAGGGGATAGGAGACAAAGTTCAAAGCCTGTTTAAGATGGTCAGTATAACAGAGACGCACCTGAACAAAAGGACATGCCCTTACTGGAACCCAGTGTTTCCCAAAGAGTGGTATGCATACCCCAGGGGTACGGGAAGAGTTTGGTGGGGGTACGCGTTGCACCGGAGTTTGGTGGGGATATGCACTGCACCGTGATTAGCTGCGCCTAATTCTATGTTCTCATGAGTACGAGGGGTACTCAGCATTACGAAAATTATAGAAGGGGTACACATATGTCAAAAGTTTGAGAAACACTGCTGTAAGCAAACCAGAAATAACCACCCCCTTCCTCAAGCGAGTGCATTGAAAAAAGATGGTTTTCAATCTTTGCTACTATATGGAGAATCTCAACCAAAAGCTAACCTTCATACTGTTTAACAGTTAGATTCACAATAAGCAGATGGTCCAAAAACCCAAAGCCAGTAATTCAATTTAAAGTGCCGTCCAAAGTGCTTCCAGTCACCCGACAAGAGCAAACCCAAATTCCCTCTGGAATAATCCACCTCTGACACAGGTCATACAAGCTCACAAACATAATCCACAATATTTACAAGGAACAAGACACCATGAGCAAGAGACAGCAAAATCCATAAACCACAGAACCGGATACACAAAGACTCTAGCCATGACAATAACTACACAGAGTATAAAATATGTGTTTAATGCAATTAAAGAAATACAAGGACTAAAGATATTAGTATGTAAAAGGGATTCTGGGACCCAGTTCCAATGTGGAGGGGTGTGGGGAGTTAGTTGCAGGAGGGTTTACGGGGAGTTTCCCCCACATTACCAAGCAATTCTCCAACACCAGTTGGGGGTCCTACAATGTAACTCAATTCTAACACTAGAGATAGCATCCGATTCCACAGTTTAAGGGTTCAGCCCTCCATGACTGCCCCCCACTCCCACCTCAGATGCCAGTCCAAAGTCCAGGTTGTCAGCTGCGCCTCTGACTAGCGGATATGAATTGGAGGTTTCAACATCCGCTCCTTGGGCTTGCTTAATTTGCTAGAGCAGTTCACAAACCAGAAGTTGACTTACTAGATTCCTGGCTCACTGTAGAAGGATATAACCCAGGAACAGTCACATGGACGAGGGGGGTAAGGCCAAGGTACAGGGGAAGGGTACTGAGTTCAGTGCCCCCTCCTAGCACGCTGCCCTCTCAGCACATCCAATCTGGAAGCTCTCTGACCCCGTTGGATGGGTTTGGATGGAGGCTCAGACTCAGGCAGGGCTGATTAAATCATCCTCTGTTGGGGCTGGAACTCAATCTCCAGCGAGGTCAGGGGTGGGGATTGCAAGTTCCAACCCTCCAATCACCTGGTGGATTCCTGGCAGCCAGCCCCCAACCTAGGGGCTTTCCAAAGGTCACCTCATTAGCAAAACAAGAAACACCTTTATCACTCCCTTAGCTTAGGAAACACAAGGGTTTTCGAAGTTCATTGCCAGAATCAGGAGGAAGATGAATTACTAGGCATTTCACAGTATCACAGTAGGGAAGAGACCTTATAAAAAGATTCACAAATAATTCACAAAAGAGGGCAAATCAATGAGTGGGTGTTTTTGTTGATAGATTCCCTGCTGAACTGAATTGCTCCCTACATCCATGTCTCAGCATCACCTGCAAGTTCCCGGGGTAAGTGGCGGTTATTCCACAAGGAGAAGCCCTTACAGGAACAAAAGGCAATTTAATTAACAGAGAAACCCTAACTACCCAGGCCTCAGTGGAAACCAGTGCAAATAAGTGAGCTATGGTATCTCGAAATCGTGCAGCTCCTGCAGCTCCTTGCTGAAAAACACATTTGCACTCAGTGTCACAGAAAAGTTGTATGGATTGTTCACTTCCCAATGGTACTCCAGACAAGGAGCGAGTGCTCCTTGAAATGAGAACTTTTTTCTTCAGTATTCCAATATTCCTTAGCCCAGTGGGTCGGCAAACTCAACAGAGCCAAATATCAACAGTACAACGATTGAAAGTTCTTTTGAGAGACAAAATTTTAAAACTTAAACTTCTTCTAACACCACTTCTTCAAAACAGACTCGCCCAGGCTGTGGTATTTTATGGAAGAGCCACACTCAAGGGGCCAAAGAGCCGCATGCGGCTCGTGAGCTGCAGTTTGATGACCAGGGCCCTAGCCCAAGGGCCCTCCCCAGAGCCATTAAAGACTCCAAGCCTACTGCTCCATCTTTCTTCCTTCCAGAAATCACCTGCTCAGATAGCCAGTGGCATTCATTTCCAAACTGCAGAAAGTTATAGCCAGAAGCCAGCTTAGAAACCACTGCAGGGTCATGTCCAACTAATACACTTTAAAGACATATAAACCAGTCCCAAAGGGAGGGAGGCGGTCGGAGGTTAGAGAGCCAGGTAGTAGTGGAGCCGGAACCAAGACACACTCCAGGCCAAGCTTCTCTACATGTTTTTGTGATTAGAACCTCAAAGTAAATATGAGCATCTGTGACAGGAGGATCACCAACCCTGGTTTGCCCCTGACTGAGGGGTTCCCAGGATGTGGGTTTCCAGATTTAAAACCAAGACAGTCCCAGCTAGACCCAGACCAGCTGATCACCCCATGTGATGATCACAGGTTCACCTTGACTCCGCTCTTGGTCATCTTGCTGACAGACTTAAAGTCCGAAATAATGAAGGCCACGAGATAGGTGCTCATCTTGACAGTGACATCAAAATGGTCTTCTATGAGTCCTTCAGCAATAGTCTCCGACTTAACCTAAAACCAAAATAACTTACATCAGCAAATAATCCAATTTTGTAATTTCCTACCAGACATACCATTGAAAGTATATGGCATGGCATTTGTATAATTAATGTCTCTTTCCAATATTCTATTCTAGTTTAGATATCGATGAAACCAAAATGTGGGGTTTTTTTAGTCCAAGTTCATGGTCTCGTGAAATTGAAAAATGAAGTCATGGGCAAAAATGATTATTGGAACTGAAGTTGATTGAGAACAGCCAGTCCAGGAAAAGGTGCAGCTGGGGTTCCAGGAGCAGACAAGCATCCAGAGCTTCCCTTCCATGCTGCAGTCCAGAGTAGTTCAGCATCCAAGAGAATTAAAGTCTATTAGTCCACATGTGGAGGCTCACATGGCTCATGGCTGTAAGCCACATAGGCAACAGGATGTGTGCTCCCCTCCCAAACCACTCTCCCACCCCATCACTTTCCCCCACCCCCTGCCACAGAAACGAACATCAGGAACCCATCGCCTGCTGGGTAAAAGGAAGAGGGTGAGAGGAAACTCATGCTTTTCAATTTAGGGAGTGGGTACAGCCTCACTAGCTCCTGATTATTGTTTTTTTTGTTTGTTTGTTTTGTTTTGTTTTATTTGTTGTTGGTTTTTTTTTTTTTTTCTCAAAGAATTCTGCCTTAATAACATTCTTGGGGTTGGTTATATGCCTCAGTCTTAGGACTGGTTATCTGTAAGCTGCCTGTCTTAGCAACAGCCATACATTTCATGCCTCTCATTGGCCCTTCCTTCCCCGCCCAGTTGGGGTACCTTCCTAATTCCACCTAGATGGGTTGGTTCCCCTCTCTACCTAGCTTCCTTTTGTCTCCTCATTAAGGCCAAACCATTCTATTCAATTTCTTCTATATTGATGTATCATTTATATACCATAACATTCACAATTTTAAAGTATAAAATTCAGTGGGTTTTCAAAATTATATCCAGCATAGTGCAACGATCACCACGTAATTTCTTAAAAATAACCCAGTTGACCACAAACTGACTTCATATTTTGTGCATGAGGATTGATGATATGGATGGGACAAAGCAAAACTGAGATTGCTGGGTTTGCCAAGGCACAGTCCACTTGTCCTTAAATACCGGTATGAGACTTATCTAGAAGTGTAATGCTTAATTTATTTTCTACACTGGGCAAGTATGTAATGATTACACAGCCTACGAAGAGCTTCTAAGTAACCCATGCCTGGGCCTGCCCTGCAAACCTCCTCCAAACTGGTTTGCTTCATTGGAATCAGCCTTTCAGTGCACTCAGGAGGTAGCCTAGCAGAGCGGGGTACAGCGAGGGAGGTACAGCCTAGATGTCTGCCCCTCAAAGAAGGAAGGCTAGTACCTCAGCCAACAGAAAGCACTGGGCCAGGATTTGGAGAAAGGACCCTCCAAACTAGCCTGGAGCAAACCATTATTAACATATGCATTTTTCCTTTAATCTCATTTCCACCCAATTTCTGGGCTCAGGTCCTTCTTAATATCCACCAGCTGGTCACCCTCTGGTCATTCAAACCCTGATGCTCATAGCCAACCTAGGTTTACATTTGAAGGACCCAAAATTACCTTTCTTTTTAAAATGCCTTTACCAACTCCTCACCAAAATTTCTGTTCCTGATGTGCTAATTATTAGAAAAGTAAGCTAAATAAACTAATAAACGTGGTTAACTATTTGCTTTTCTAGCCTCCAAAAAAGATCCTTTGAGTTTACATTGTCTTCCCCCTCAACTCCAGTCTGCAGCCTGATTCAGGCCACTCCTACTTGGCTTTCCTGTCCAAAGAGCAATATTACATTAGAGAGTTTCCTATCCTCAACAAGTGGGTCCTGGATGTTCTTGGATTTAGACTCTAGCATCTTCGCAAAGCCCTGGGGTACTCCTGGCCTTCCGCCTGCAAGCCTACGAATTTCTCCAATTTCTCCGTTAACCTGTGTAATTAGTCTCTCCTGGTTCCTTTATCCTCTTACATCTGTAATTCTCTAATTAGAGAACTCCCTCCCTGGGAGCAATACCATCATCTTGGGGGAGGGAACTATGAAAAAGCATGGTCTCTATCTCAAATTTATATTAGAAAAATGACAAAATTTTTCTTATCTTTTCATATATAAATGTGGGGAGGGGAAGACAGAAGTTCTTGGCTGGCAGGGATTTTTCAGAAAATGTTTTTCAGAGGGGCAGCCCTCTCTGGGGGCCTGTCAGAACCTTGTTTGAGGAAGGGATCCTTCAGGTACTCAGAGGGGACCCAGAGTTTTAAAGGTTGAGAAGTACTGTCCCAGAGGTTGGTCTGTGGCACTCTGCGTCCCTTCATGCGAAGAAGTTGCACAGGGATAGGGAGGGTCACCCTGCAGGGCTCCCGACAAGGGGTCCACCCTGAGTCTCATCCACAGTGAGCCTCTCGGGACAAATGTGTGCTTCAGGAGTTAGCGTGCATCTGTTGTAGAATGGCAGCTCAGCTGATGTTTTTTTTCTAAGCTACCAGAATCATAGGACAGAGGCCCTTGCATCCTATTCATTTGGCACAGTCATTTCTTCTGCCCACTTAGAAAAATCAGAGGAAACACTTCGACGAGTTTGAAATTTGAAGGATAATGGTTTTTTTAAAAGCAGTGTTTCCCAAACTTCTCTCATGATGAGAATCACCTGGTGGAGTTGTTAAACTACAGATTCCTGAATCCCAGGTAAGAAGTGCTAAACTAGAAGTTTAGGGAACATATATGTAAAATTGTATTCTTAACTAGTAAGTATACAATAAGACAGAGCACTAAGTTAGATATACAATTTTACCTATATGTTCCAAAAAATTCTAGTTTAGCACTTCTTAGTTGGGATTCAGGAATCTGTATTTTAACAACTCCACCAGGTGATTCTCATCATGAGAGAAGTTTGGGAAACACTGTTTTAAAGGAAACTGAGCTACCTATCATTACTAACCTTTAGTGCTGTAATATTCTGAAAAAATTTACTTTTTCCTTTTTTCTATCGGCCCAATTTTGTGCATATGTTACCAACTACATAGTTAATGTTAATATATAGAAATTATAGAAAATAACTACAGACTAGAAATATGGCCCTATTTGACGAAGCATGCTCTTTAAAATGCCTTTAAAAGGTCATGTGAGAAAACGAAGTGAAAGTGCTTTGTGAAGGACCTGAGTTCATCAGACTCAATCCTTCCGGAAAGCACTGATGACCTAGAATGTCACTCTTCCTGAAACTTTGCAGGTTTTTAGAGTCAATTTTTTCTCTGACTACAAAGAAATGGTTGCTTGAAGCAAAAGCATAGGTTAGAAATAAACAAGAAAAGTCAGCCATCTGTCAGGCAATAAAACAAACGAAACGGGGAGCTGAATAATAATGATTGTTGGGGTAACGCGAGTCGCAGTGAACCAGTGGGCTTTCCTGTGAGAAGGCGCAGAGGAGCTGAGGCTCACCAGGGGCATATTGGAGATGGCGAGGTGCCTCGGCTCCCTTCTGATCCTGATGGAAAAACTCGCTTTGAAGGCAGGTTCGTCGAAGCAGGGAAAGGCCATTCTGGCTGCAGTAGGTTCAAACTGTGTTGATGCGAGAATCCTAAAATGACAACAAACAAGATAAAAACTCAACATGAAGTACCAGGGACTCTAAAATAGGTGTGTGTGAAGGGTGAGCCTTCACTCATTGTGACTGATGTCCTTATAAGAAGTGGAGATTAGGACATAGTCATGTACAGAGGGAAGAGCATGTGAAGACACAGGAGAAGATAGCCATCTGCAAGCCAAGGAGAGAGACTTCAGAAAAAACACACACAAAAAAACCACCCTGTTGACACCTTGATCTCAGACCTCGGGCCTACAGAACTGTAGAAAAATAAATTTCCTTTGTTTAAGACAAATAAAATAAAACCTCTCTATATAAAAGCCTAAGTGACAGGTCTATCAGTAGCTATTATACACATGACCCCAGGGAGCAGATGCTCAATGCAGGAGCTGTCCCCTGATGGTCAGTGCACTCCCAAAGCGGAGCACTGATCAGCTGACCAATGGGCGTCAGATGCCTGGCTCATGGCTGGTGAGTGCAGCTGTGGTGGAGGGAGCCTCCCCCATCTGGACTGTACTGTGGCAGCGGTAGGTGCAGCAGGGCTAGGATAAGCTAGAACAGTGTGGCACCTGGCCTGGGCTCAGGTTTGGGTTCCTCCCTGTCTGCCTACTGCTTTGTGCACTACTATATCCCTCGTGGGATGTCAGAGAGCCAGTTTCAACCCATCCCCGCAGCCCAGGCCAAGGGACCCTACCAGTGCATGAACCCATGCACCAGGCCACTAGTAATAAAAAAAAAAAGTAAATAATAAAATAAAATAATAAATAAATAAAATAATAAATAAGATAAAATAGGTGTATGTTTTAATTTCTAATGTTACCATGAGATAGATGGATTTTATACTACTACTAAAAAATATTTTATAGTAAATGACAAAAGCTATCATAAACTAAGGGAAAAGACAAATAAAACCCGGAAAACTGAAACGTATTTGACATGGGTTAAGAGTCTTAACAGATAATGAGCTCTTAAAATGAGTAATAGTACACTGAGCAACCAAATGGAACAGCAGACACAGGTCATAAATAGGCAATTGACAAAAGAAGAACCTACAAATAGTAACTAACTATATCAAGAGCTACCCAAATTCCTCAATTACCAATGTAATTTAAATTAAAAGGAGATATCTGTTGGCTTCTAGCTCTAAGAAGACTGCAAATACACAAAATTGATTATAGGTGAGGAATATAGCAAGGAAATCAAACATTTGTCCATGCTTTGACTTAACAATTTCAGTTCTAGGTATTTATTCCAAAGCAATAATTTATGAAGATGTTCACCGAAGTGTTGCTGATGTTATAAATTTGGAAACAACCTAATCTCCATCAGTGGGGATTAGTTAATAAATCAGTGCTCAAACATACATTTTAATATTCACTAAAATGATTCACTGTGATAGCCATACATATTAAACATCTTCTCAACATATTTTTAAGAATCCCTTCTAAAACAGAAAACAAAATGTACCTCCCACTTACATAAAGTAATGTATATACATATTCAGAGAGAAGTCTTTAGGATGTTCCCATAAAATAGAAGTAGTGTTATCTCTAGTGTCACAGAAAAGTAAGTATAATTTACTGACAAATAAAACTTAATTTTAAAATGTAGCATAAAATCTCCCAAAATAAATTACCTCCTTAAAAACAGAACTAAAACAAGGCAGATGAAGATCCCTAAAAACTTTTAACTGAGAGGAAAGTATTTCCTCTAATAGACTGGTTTGAATTATGTCTTCCAAAAGGATATATTGACATCTTAATCCCTAATATCTGTGAATGTGATGAAGTTAATATAAGGCTATCAGGTTGGGCCCTAATTCAATATGGCTGGGGTCCTTATAAGAAGAGGGAAATCTGGAGAATGGCCCCATAATAACAGAGACAGAGACTGGACTGGTGTAGCTACAATCCAAAGAATGGCAAGGACCAATAGTCACCACAAGTGATGAAGAGACAAGGAAGAATTCTACTCAGACTCAAAGGACAGGCCTGCTGACACCTTGATTTTGTACTTCTAGCCTCCAGAACTGAGAGAGAATAAATTCTGTTGTTTTAAGACACCTAGTTTATGGAATTCCATTATAGCAGCCCTAGAAAACTAATACATAGGCCAAGAGAATTAAAGATGCTTATTACATCCCAGAAATCTAATTAAACAAAATATGTATTCATTCTGATAAAGCTGAAAGCAAGAAAATTGGTTAAAACAGAATGAAAAATGAGATCTAAAAAATAAACAAACACAAAGAAAACAAACTATTGCCATTTTTATCTCTACAAAGCAGTAAAAAACAAACACCAAAGAAAGAATTCAACATTTAAGGGAATTTTAAAAGGTAATCCATTTGAAATAATAAATGTAGTGTGGGCAGCACTTGAAGCTTTAAAAAATAATAGAAAAAAATACCTCACTTCCCCTTCCTTGGTTCTGTAGGTGCTTTTATAAAATCCGTGGAAGCTCTCAGAAAGATTGCCAGCATAATCAAGGACAACTGTGTACGGGAGCCCAACCTCCAGAGGTGTGGGAGCCAGAAGTGCGATTTGCTCACGAGGTGGGTATTCCAGGACTCGCAGCAGATCTTCAGAGGGCATCTCTCCAGCTCCCTTCCTGAGGGTGGCTTTCAGAATCTGCAGGTGCTGACTATGCAGGATGATGGCACTGGTGGGCTGGCTGGCTGTGATGCTGATTGCCGTGGTCCCCTTGAAGGTCAGCGTGGTGAGATTGGCATGGATCAGGAGATCATAGTGAACTGGGATGATGTGCTCAGGAAGTCTCATCTTATCCCAAGGAAACAGGGTCCCATCACTCGTTTTTGGAGGCATAGTGCCACTACTCTGACACCAGGAAGGAGTTGACACAATTAAGAGGATCAGCAGTGAGGAAGGTAGAAATGACATGGTTCTAAGTGACCATTTGCTGGACAGAGATACCATCTTCTTTGTTCAATCTACCCTTAAAACAAACAACAACAACAAAAGTCACTAAAATATTATCAAGACAGCATGATTTCAGAATGTATCCACCTAGCATGGGCAAATGCAGATATAAACTTTCAACAGAAGTATTTGGTCTTTTTCCTAAAAGTAAAATTACCTTCCCGATGTTATTGCTTCATAGAAGTAAAAAACTTATGGTTAGCAACAATCATTAACACCCACTTAAAGGCATCAACTGGTTTTCAAAGTTTAAATTATTTTTATCAGTAGGGTTCTTGGTTGAAAGCAACAGAGCAAGCTCTGGCTGAGGATCCTGAATAGCTCACTAAATAGGTTGCAGAGTTGTCAGGACTTTTGGGAAACTAGACCCTCAAGATGAGCAAAGATGAATCACCAGGACTTCATCAGAGAAGCATCAGATCAGAGAACCATTCTCCCCTCCCCCCCCACCCACCCTCCTTCCCACACACCCACACACACACATTGGGGCTTAGAGGAAACCAGCCGCCTTACTGCCCTGGAGATCAGATGCCTGGCACAGCTACAGGCACCACTACAAAGAGGTCTCCACTGCTCCTGCAACTGTGCTTTGCTTGTTTCAGCTTCAAGGTCCCTACCTTCAACTACGACTGCCTGTCGGAGCAGAGGTGAGGTATCCACACTACCAGGCAGAGAGGTAGAGAAAGCAGAATCAGGACTTTGCAGCGTCTGCAGTGGAGACTGGCCTTACTTCCCACAAAGCTTACAATGCAGAGACTTTTTAAAGCTAGAGAGCACAGGAAGCAGATGTAGATTCTAAATAGCAAGGGGGCACAAGGCAAGTATCCATAACAGGATCCTTCAGTAACACTGGTATCTTGTCAAATGATTTGCCAAAAGTTAATTTAATATATATTTAACCAAGAATTACTGAAACAGTTTATGGAGATTTTTACCATAATGTGTGACAAACCCACCAGTCACCCGGATTCTCTCTTACAATCAACCCAACACATACGTGTTGAATGCCTGCTACATAGAAGGCCATGTGCTGAACACTGTGTGGAATATAATAACACACAGGACCCAAATCCCACAGTCAAGGACTTTAGAACCTGCGAAGGCAGGAAACATTCACACACAAATAATGAAACACAGCGGAAAGTGTGGAGTGCTGTGAAAGCAATAAAAGAGGGCACCCGGAAGAATGGAATGATGTTTCTAAAGAAAGAGAGTGACTTAGCTACAGTGACTCTGGGATGCCCCCCATGTAAGACCAACCTCTGAGTGTGGTCTGAAAGATTCGGTTGGATATGGAAACGAAGGGAGGACATTGAAAGCATTCATTGCAGATGGAGCAAGCCAGGGCAGGAGCTAAAGCACAAGGGGAAAGAGAGCTGTTCAGGTAATTGATGTGGACCAAGCGAGCCTCAGAAGAATGTAATGGAGAAGGATTTTTCATAAGCTAACAGGAGAGTGACTCTGGGATTATGCTCAAAGCATCCTGGGAGTCATACCATCTTTTGCCCTTTATTTTAAGGCTGCAGACATATTTTTCCCTTTATGTTAAGGCCATAGGACACAAAAAGAATGAATCTTAAGGGAGAACCCAGCATACTTCTGTCTTTGATAAAGACATCTCTAATGGGTGTTTGCCAGGAGGAGTCTCTGTCAGGTGAGCCCAGGTAATTCCCTCAAACTCCTCTGTCTCCTAGACATTTGGATCAGATGAGAAGAGTAATGCTGCAATATGGATCCCTGGAAATGATGGTGGTGCATGGGATTCTCCCCCTACATGTCAGTGGTTTTCAACTCTGGCTGTGTATTAACATCACCCTGGAGACTTTTAAAGTAACTGTTGACTAGGTCCCTATCTAAAACAATTAAACTGGAAGCATCATTTGGTGATGAGGATGAGGCATCAGAATTTTTTTTCAAGACTCCCCAGAAATTCTATTTAAGAGACAGGTTGAAAAGCTCCTACATAATTCTTGCCAAACTCTGGTCTTATCCCTTGAATCCTACATGGGGAGGATAATAGTTTAAGTTAACCACTGATGTGCTCTCTCCCACCCCCCTTTCCATCCTGCTCCTCTCCCAAACACACAGCTAAGGGCACCTACCTCCTCTTCCCCATGGAGCAGATCTTCAGGCTAAACAGAAAGGATACCAACGCAGTAGAGACAGCCAACCATGGAGACTTTTCAAAAGGCACCAGCCAGAAAAGACATGTAAACATGTGGGAAAAATAAGCTTTTTTTTTTTTTTCCCTCAGAACCAACTAAAAGATGCCTCCTGCTCCAGAGGATCAGAGCGATTTGGTAAACAACAAAGATTAAATATCAAAATGGTAAAGAGATCTTCCCCTTACCTCCTTAGGCAGAACCCCAGGGCAGGAGGAGAATAATGGATTTCCCTTCAAGTGAGGACCAGAAGTAAAGGGAGTTATGTGATGCTTCCATTTGAAATTTCTGATGGCAGTAGCTTAGTGGGCGTGGTCAGGGACACAGGTGGTAGAAGAGGGCAGGGAAGGTCCCTGAGTGTTCTCCAACAGCCAAGAGGAAACTTAAAAATCCCAACTGGTTCTGCACTGACAACAAGGCCCAGGGGTTGCTAAAGAGCCTGGCAAGGAAAATTCACTCAGAGCATGTGTAGAGTCCATGAGGAGTGGGGGCCAAAGCAAAGGATCCTTCAGTAACATTGGTATCTTTGTCAAATGAGGATGTGTCCCAAGGAGGATGCAGTGCCAGGAAACCAAAATGGAACACGAAATACAGACAACTTAAAGTCAGACTATATGCCTATATAGACATACAGATATAATTACCGTATTTTCCAGCATATAAGACAACCCCCTAATTTTACAGTTAAAACATAGGTTTAGGCCTATATTCGCTGTATAAGACTACCCCCCACTTCCGAGGCAACACCAGTTCTTTTTTTAATAGACCGCCTCTCTGACTCTGGCCAATCTGAGCAGGCTTTTTACTAGAACACAGAGTAGCTTCGGAACATAATTTGCATGCATAAAAAGCTGCTTGGATTGGCTGAGTTAGAGAGGCAGTCTGAGCAGCCTTGCAGTGATTGGTGTGGGATCAAGTTGGAAAATTTGTTTAGCCGCATATCCAGATGATTTTCGGGATCAAGTTGGAAAATTCGTTTAAAACTCGTCTTATACACCGGAAATTATGCTATAGCTATATTAATCATATGTATACCAGGCTTAATAGTCAGAAAAATCCTGGCTTTGAGGCCTTGCTCTGCCACATACTGGATGAACTTGGGCAGGCGATTTAATGCCAGTTCCGTTTTCTTTATGTGTAATATGAGAAAAACATCTCTCTGAGATAATCGTGAAGATTAAATGAGTTAAAATATTTTCAACCACTCGTTCCCCAAATATTATTGAGGGCCTATTTTGTGTTAGGGGTTTTGCTGACCACTAGCAGTGCAAGATTGCACAGGTCTCTGACTTCAAGAGTTTACAGTGTGTGAGGAAGGAGGCAAAGGCACAAGTGGGTGGGAGCCAACAAGTTGACACAAATACACACACACACACACACACACACACACACACACATAGTTACCAGCAATGAATACCTATAAAGGAAAAGCACACACATACTGAAACAATAAAGAATAAACTGGCAGATCAGTTTACATTGGGGCTCTCATATATTTTTAGCTGAGATTTAAAGGACAAATTCATGTGAGCTGAATCAGTAACAGTACCTAATTGAGAAGTCAGAGTCCAAGATACCTCAGGAATTTTATTTAGGCTGCCTTTTCCCACTCACACAGTAAGTCGGGGCAACTGGTTCTGTTCTCTCAGCCTTCCCTTGATCGGGGCGCTATGGAATGTGAAATCGATCACCAAGAGGCAACTGACTTTCTTCCCAAGTCTGCACAAAGACATCACAAGCACTGATAAACTTGTCATCGCGGGTCAATAATTTTAAAATGTTGAATTAATTCTACATTTTTCTTACCAAGCTAAAATATTTTTCTATTTTTCAGGCCCACCAGAAAATATGCTAGGTATCACTTAGGTGACCAGATGGTCCGGCTTTGGGCGCGACAGTCCTGATTTTTAACAATTTGTTCCGTGTCCCTCGGCGTTTAAAAAAAAAAAAAAAAAAAGTCCCGATTTAATTGGGACCGTTTTAAAACGCCTCGGGACGCGAGACAAATTGTTAAAAATTGGGAACAACTACGACGCTTTAGGGAACTTCAACTCCTTAGGGAAACAGGCAACTCTGGCCAATTGAAGGATTTAAAAAAAAAAAAATCCTAGACCACACACGCTGAGTTGAGCTGAGGGCGCACCCGCTGGGCAGAAGGCGTTTCTCCCGCACCTGCCCGCGGGGCCCGCGGAGCACGAGGCAGGGCCGCCGGGCGCCCAGATCGGAACCCCATAGCCCCCACCGGGAGCTTTATCCGAGCTCAGCCCCCAGGTGGTCACTCCACCGGAGAGCCTCCAAGGAGGAAGAAGATAGAGAGAGTTCCGGAGACAGCTGGAGGGGGGCGGAGGGAGGGCAGCCAGGTTCGATTCCGGTCAAGGGCACGTACCTTGGTTGCGGGCACATCCCCAGTGCGGGGTGTGCAGGAGGCAGCTGGTCGGTGTTTCTCTCTCATCGATGTTTCTAACTCTCTATCCCTCTCCCTTCCTCTCTGTAAAAAAATCAATAAAATATAGGGGAAAGGGGCGGGGGGGGGGGGGGGAAGAGACGCTGACAAACGCTAATCCCACCCCAACCCGGCAATCCCACGAAGCCATGTTCGCTTCTTGGGCAGCTACCTACCCGCAAGGTGCCCCGTCCTCCTACCCCCGCACCCACCCACCCCTCCATCGGGCCCAGCCTGGAGCCCGGGGGCCGGGGCCTGGCAGACGCCCCGCGAGGCGGGGCAGCCGGAGGCTCCTGGTCGCGGAGAAGGCACAGCCCGGAGCACGCGGAGCAAAGCGGTGCGCCGCCCGCCCTGCGCCCCCGCCTCCCGGGGACCGGGACCCAGCGGGCCCC